AAAATATGTCACAAATCCCCCCCCCCCCCCCACCCAAACATTTTTTTTCCTGTGTCCACTACTGTCCTTTACAAACCATTAAGAAATTCACTCCCATGCATATCAAATTACTGCACCTGTGCCAGAAACATTTCACTAGAACAGTGATTTAACCAGGGGTAAAAGTATCTCCCCAGCCCTGAGGTGTGGTAGACCAGAAAATTGTATTTGTGCTGCCATTGCTAGATGTTGCTGCTTTTTAAAAAATAATTTTTTATGCATTTTGATTAGCAGCAGTAAATGTTTTTCTGGTGAATTTTCTTTGCACATTGCTATTGGTAATTTTTTTCCTTGTTTATACAAAGTTAATCAAAGAAATAAAAGTATGATAACTAAATTAGTTAATTATTTTCATATTTTAATACAATAAATATACGGGTGGGAGGAGGGGGGGGGGTGTTTGAAACAGAAGGGTACTCCCATTTTCTCCTCCGTGGCGTGCTGTAACTTGATCAGAGGCCATTTCTTGAACCTCTCAGTGATCGTAGTTTAAAAATAAGATAAATATAACTGTATAAAAGTAAAAGAATAATGGTAAAAATGTCTGTAATTTAGGGTTATTAAGTAGTGCAATTCTTTACTATAATATTCCGCTTTTCATCATATTTCATGTGACATCATACTGCTTAAGGCCCCCTTCCCCTTTCTAGACGTGTGACATAATTTATGGATGGCCCTTAATATAGGCCTATGCATGAATTGATGGACATCCAAGCTTTGTAGCTATATCAATCATCATCCATATTTAAATATTGGTGGATTAAGTTTAAGAGTCTTAGAGAAGCCTAATATTATCAATATTCACTCCATATGGGGCTGGTCAAGATTTTCCAGAGAGTTCTGTTACAGTATTAAACATCAATAGACTATAGATAAATGAATTTAAATTTAATTTTTTGTACGGTGATTAATAAAATAATAATTAGAAATAGAAATGTATTTTAGTTTCTACTCAAGTACTGGTATGTATAGCTTAGATTGAGTTATGTGCACACATCTGACTAGGCCCCTATTCCCTTCTAAATTAAAATAAAACAAACCATTGTCTAACAAAAATAAAACAAATAACTCATATGTTTTCTCCATATATATATTATATATACAATTATGAGCCTAGTTTTAAAAATAAAAATGAAACTTAAAGCAGTGTCACTCTTGGTTGCTGCACTGCAAGGTAATTGAAATAAATATAGATGTCAGTATATTTTTGACTAATAAAACATGTTTAATTAAGTTAGAACCAAGAAGGAATAAAGATAACATATTGTTGATGAAGTATGCAATATATTTGTCAAAAACTTGTAATAGGACATATTTAATTTAAAAATTTTCCCAATGTACCTACATAAAGTAGAGTTCTCTACCTCTTATATTACGAGTGACTAAAATGTATGCTCCTTTTTACTCTTTCAGTCAGCAAAGTTGGTGCTCAGGCAGCCAAAAAGACGAAAATGGAAGTGGTTACAGATCCGGAGCAATTATTGAAGTATTGTTGTGGTGCAAATATTTATGTGGATGGAAAAGATCCTGAAATCAAACCAGACTCTGAGTATCCTGATTGGTTATGGAATTTACGGACAGAACGTGGTGGGGTTAAATTAGAGGAACTTGACCCTGATACGATGGCATATTGGAGACGATTGGCCAAAATTACCTATTTAGAACATTCCAGGATTAAAAAAAGGCTTCAAAGACTAAAGAATATTCAGCATCCAGATGACATAATCAATTAATTATGTTGTTAACTATATTCACATAAATGTTAAAAGTTTAATAATTAAATGATGCTTATAATTATATGGCTACCTGAAATAAATAATGTATGTTATCTCAAAATTCCAAATTGTGTGTTTTGACTCCACATAATTCCAACAGTTTAAATGCAGACAACTTAAAAAAAATTTGCTTATAGATTCATGTACTTGTGTAAACATGAAGGTTTTATATTTATCATTGTAATTGTCCTGACTGCTAAAGTTTAAGTCTACATTACAAACCAGTGATGTGTGTAGCAGTAACAATTTTTCTAGTTAAATTTATTTTGTAGGAGGTTTTGTTATAGTTATACCCTAAAAAGATTAAAACTATTCCGCTTATTAGTCAGGTTTAAGTACCGGTGCCAGCGTACTGACAAAAAAAAGCAAGTCAACGCATAGCCTTAATTAATTTAGCAGGCAAATACATTTAGTCCCAAGAATAACCTAAAGAACCAATTTAAAAACTTGTGAGATATGCCGTTCGAAAACAGTTGCAAGTCATACATTATGCAAAATTGTTTACCATATTCTTCTTTTTGCCAACTTTTCTATTCATAAGTTTCACAACAGCAGCTACAGCTTCTTAGTCTTAGAAATAGTCAGCAACTAAAAATCTATATATCGTACCCAACTTGACAGGTAAAATTTTCACAACATGGAACTACATTAACATAATATGAATATGACAAAACTTCCACTAAGTTCCTCAATTTAAAACAGTTTAATTCATCAAAATATAACAAAAATATTTTAAAATTATTTTACAAATTAAATACATACAAGCTTCATAATCAGAGGGACTTAATAATATGTATATATTGGGTATATTTATTTAAAAAAAGAAACTGTATCGTGAAAGACTTGCCCCTATTCATCAAAACACAACACATTAACTTTCTTATCCGCTCTTACCTAAAACCATTCTACTGAAGTTAGATATGTTACATCATGAAACTGGGTGATGTTTGGCTCTTTGAGATTGATTAAGCAACGGTGAGAAAAAATAACATAACATCTCATTTTAATTGTGCCAACCACAATGTCACTCTTGATGTGTTAACTGTGGCTACTCTTTTTCTAATAATTTTTCAACCACACCGTCTATATTTTGCTCTGAAAATAGGTATACATTTATATACACAGTATAGTTTTGGCACTTGTTCTCAATGAACTTCTGACCTACTGTTAGAGAATTACATTACAACCTGTTACAAAGTTTAGTTTATTCACAGTTTATTTATTTTTGATCTCATGATGAAGGATTTCGGCTAAAACTTGGTTTTTTTATGTCACAATTCAAACATTAACATGTTTTGAGCAATATATACCCACCCAACTAATCTGGTCAATGCATGGGATTATTGTATCTTTTTGGACCCAAATATCTTAAATATGCTTTAACTTTAAGTAAATGGTGCATTGGAACTGACTGCACAGAAATCTTTATTTTCCCTTTATCTCTAACCTGGTTTACCTCGCTGTAGTATTAACTAATTAGTTTATATTTTATATTATTAAGGCACCATTATTACTATTACCTTGCAGCAGACCTGAAATGATATTTTAACACCACAATGTTCTTTGCATAGAATTTTTGAAAATATTTTTTTTTAGCTGAAGGAGTTAGATTAATTTTTGATGTACTGGTAAGAAAAATAGTTTTTGTAGCTTTACTTGACCTTTGTAGTAAAAGTTAACAATGTGACTCAAGTTTCTGTGGGGTAAATTTTACACCAATAAGTTGTAAATAAATCAGTTTTAACAAGACATTTCTGTGGAAATGAAACATAATTATGCAGACCGTACATAAGAAATAATCCAACAATGCTATATATTCAATTTATGATGGTACCAACTTAAGCAATGGATTCCAAGCAGTCACAATACCAATAAGAGATGATACTGTTCCAGCCAAACCTTGTATTCCTGGAGAAACTCTGACAAAACCCAATGCTTCTAGTGGTAAAATCAGGTCTGACAAATTCTTAACTAGATCCAAAAAGACTGGCTGGTTTTCATAAAGACATTTATAAATCAGTTGAGTATTTGTCATTGAAGGTCTGGTAATACTTTTGTGTTCTGAGACACCATTCTTGTAGTGGCTACGTGAAGATTTAGCAATTCTCAGTCTCAATTCTTGAGAAATTATCAAGTAAATGTCATAAATATCACGGACAAGGTTTAAAGTCAATGTTACTATCCAAAATCTTGCAGACAGGTTGCTCCATTTATCTTTGTCAATTTGTGCCAGGCCTAAGCGCCCGGCCCAAATAATATGATCGAACAGAAGTGATACAGACTGATTCAGTTTAGCCAAAGTGATTGACCAACGCAAAATAGAATCAGTTAAGTGAAGACTGCGAAGAGCACCATGAACAAAGTCCAGGCTCTTTCCAAGTTGCATAACTGAAAAATAAAATAAATTCAATAAAGTGAATAAAATCATTACCGGTACAAGGTACTGGTACTTCAAATGATTGAAGGAAATAAATAACTTATAATTATAATTACCGGTACCGGTACTGAAAAATGGGCATATTACGGGTACTGATTCATTTTTATTTGCCAACAAGATAATAACCTTTGGATGCTTATCCTTGGATAAAGTGGATATGACATAAGCAAAAATATTTCTTTCACAGTCTTTTTGCCAGGAAACTTTAGGTAAAGTTCACAAATTATGTTTTACTGCCTAAGCTACATCGCGGTACTTATTGACTTAATGATCAAAATAAATGGAAGTGTTGTGATTACATTGTACATAATACATATTTATTTTTAAGCATGCTGTTACTTTATCAAATAAAAATCCTGACAGTAATCATTCAGATTATGATAATTAATGAGGATGATGTTTAAGTAACATACCGGTATTTAAAAAAAAGCAAATGTTTGCTCTATCATGTAATTTACATTGAGGGGGGAAAACGTTCATAATCATTTTTGTTGTAACAATATAGGGACTTGCATTCAAGATACCGTTCGTGTATTTTGGCAGTTTTAATCTTGGAATAGCCCAAGTAGGATAATATTCCGAAGTAAAATTATGAACGAAAGCTTTACATGCTTTAGCTAATGTTTTCTACAGTCAGCTACTGTTTTCCCAGAATAGTTGTTGATCCTCCTTCAAAATAAGTGGGTTTTTTAGTAGGTTATACAGACAAACTACCTCTATTATATACCGGTAGTTTCCATTGATTCCAAGAAACAAAGTATAACCTACTTACATTTTCTGGTTGTACTTAAGGCATTTCCTAGTTTCTGTAACCTATCAACAACCTCTGGATTAGCACCATACCTATGTAAATACCACCAAGTAAATTTGCTTCCATACTGCAATAGTCTGGAAAAAAAACACTTTGTATTTACTAATATTGCCTACAAATTATAATATTTTGAACTAGCACTACATAGAGAGAAATTATTTGACATTGACACGAGTGTTGAGATACACCGGGAACTGGAAGCAACTGGAAAGGAAAGCCTAGGCATAGGACTGAGATGAATAGAAAATTCTTGTAGACGGCCTATAGGCCTACTCCAGACCGGGTAAAGGGTCTAAGTAAGTAAGCCCATTGAATGCCCAAGCCAGCATTGACCTATAGGCAGTGTATTATTAAAATTAATTCAGGTACTGGTACCCTTATTGCCCATATACACTCCATCTACAGTCAAGACCAAGAGTTTCCATACCTGGAACATTATAGTTATAGTGTTTTACCCTCTTTTGATTTAATTTAACTGGAAATACATTATTATTTATTACTGGTATTACTATTTTACATATTCAGATAATATTCAAATCCTACCCATACCACCCCCAAAGTTTCATATATTAAATGTGGTAGATCCATGATAACCAACACTGCTACTTGCTACAGACACTGACGTCTATTGGGGACTTTGGAGATGAAACTTTATACAGGCACATTTATTCAAACTTAGATTACACTAAAACAAGGGCTAGGGCATGTAACTGTAACAATGCTGCTCAAAGAATACATATTATATTTCTACCCAGCAGCATTAAAAATAATGGCAGTAATATTGTGTACCGGGTATTATTTTCTTGGATGAGTAGGGTAAGAGCTTAGAGTAGAAACTAGGCCTATTAAACTATTATTAGAAGTAATTATTAGTACCAGTGCCAGGGTTTATAACTCTATTAGACTCTATCACTATTTAAAGGCAAAAGCAGGTATACCTGAACAATTTATCTCTGCCACTAGCTAGTGAGTTGAATTTCACAAGGTTATCAAAGAAATCAGAATCCATAGTATTTTAAGGAGCTTTATCCAGTCATTCTGAATTTAGATTATTCAATTTATATGCATAAAAATGCCAATTAACTGCAATGACAGACCAAAGTTCATGTATATTTCTTTACAATCACTGATCCCATTCTCATTACTCCCACTTCCTGCCCATCCGCTATGTAGGTAAAGATCATTCACTCGGTACACAATAGTCGTTGTTTTAAAATTTATTAAGATCCGTAAAAAACTGTAGAAATTTATTTTAAACAGCTCATATTCGGTTTGTGTATACGAGGGTTTCCCCCAATTTAATTTTTCGTGGTCCATTTTTAAAAAAAAATACCGTACTTCTCCTTCGTGACCCACTAAAATTGTATAGCTTATTTAGCCTATAAGTAGGACATGAGTAAAATATTTCTTATACTTAAAACGAATAAACATAAAAATCCTGACCCAAAACTCTAAAGACTTACATGTATCTGTTCACATGTTGTCTAGGCTATCTAAGATACACGTATATATTTCTATAAGTTAAAAAGTTTTTTTAAAGATATTTTAAATAGAAGGCGTTGGAACAATGAGAAAACTCCCTTAATACTTAATATTACAATATCCTCTCATACCAAGGTGTAGTGAATAAAATTCCCTTTCCAACTAGATACAATTCATTAGCATAATACTAATACACTAGGGTTCCAGAGAAATAAATTATTGAAATTATACCTAAAGCATACAAAATGATTCCCAATAACTATTCTAAGCGATGGGGAGAAGCCGTACACGCCGCATATTGTGATACCCTAACCCCGAGGTCAAATACCAACACCGTGTTGGGTACTAAACACTGTTTCGTAACAGCGTGGCCTACAATCATCATCATCATGTCCCTTATTCCTTGGACCTTTGGGGCGCCACAGATGACATGTGAACCATCCTCCTCCATTCCTCTCTGTCTTCAGCACTACGCACAGCATCGCCCAGTGTTAGTCCAGTCCACTCTTTGATGTTATCCTCCCATCTTTTTCTTTGTATTCCTCTTCTTTTCCCTCCTCTTGTGGTGCCCTGCAATATTTCTTTGGCAAGCCCTTGTTTCCTTGTTACGTGGCCGTACCATTGTAGTTTGCGTTTTTTCACAGTCACCAGTAGGTCATCGTACCCAACAATTGCCTGGCGAAACCTTTCTTTCACTGTATCTTTGGAGATATGGTCCCTATAGCAGATGCCAAAAATGCTTCTGAAGCATCTCATTTCCATCGCCTTTATTTTCCTTTCAAGATCGGCTGTATATGTCAAGGATTCGCAGGCATACAGGAAAATGGAGAGGACTAATGAGCGCATCAGCCTGATTTTGGTGCTCGGGGCTATATTTTTATCATTCCATATTTTCTTGAGCCTCTTTAGTGCTGTTGTAGTCTGCGCAATCCTGGACATCAGTTCGGGCTTGGGTATTTTAAGTATGATTTTTTAAATTTCAATAATTCATTCATCAATGTCAGTGAAATGGCCATCGGCGAAACGGCTAGTTGCAAAATGGCCTGGCATTTAAAAAAAGTTTGAGTTTAAATCAATTTGAAATGGCTCGTAGGCGAAACAGCGTCGGTGAAATTGTGGCGGCGAATCGTCATAGATCCGTTCATAACCTGTCAAAAAGGTTGGAGTTAGAGGCTGTATCTGTTATGATACCAAATATTGATCTTCATCGAGTGCATTTAAGAAAATTTCACGTTCACGGAGCTCAATAGCCTTAATTTCACGAATAAGGAAACAATTTCTATTCATAGAGTTGAGTTGTGTAAGAACATCTTATTGCCCAAAATAAAAATAAATATATAAATGTTTAATTTAAGTAGCATAACAATAATCAATAAAAATATGGTAGATCAAAAATAATAAAATTTTCATTTTTAATAGATGATATAATAAATTCATTTATTACGCTAAAAGTAATAATTGTGACATCAAAATTAATTTTATAGGAAAAGAATAATATTCAACAAGCAAAATATTAGTGATTCACCGCCTAGATTAGGGGGAGTAATTACTAAATATTTTATACTTGCACAGTGGGAAGTAAACAACGTAAGTGAGCTGACTTAAATCTAATTTAAACAAAAAAAACAAAACTTTTGGTGTATAACACGCTTTATTAATTAAAATCTCTGTTTGGAAACAGGGCAAAACATAATGTGTTACATTTATTACAAGTAAATATGTCCTTGCATTGGAAATTATAAGCAAGCTCTCTCCTCTCAGAAATCCTTCAATTTCAAGCTGAATGAAGCCATCATTCTTCTTATTCTTAGTGTCTTAGTGGTATATTTCATCTGGTTATGTACCACTTCAGCGTCAGTTATTAATAAATCGCGCTGTTCCGGTTAGAAGTGCTATTTAAAGGGTTATTCTTTTATGGATGTCCGTTAATAGTACTGGTGGAGAGGGCGACTGGGTTTTCAGTGACACAGAATTGAAAGAGAGAGAGAGTGGGTGCTGTTTTCTCGTTGAAGTGCAAGACCAATGTGTGATCACGTTACAGGAGTGCATCAAGAGATATATCTCATACAGGATCACATATTGTATTGGATGGATGGGGGGATTATGCTAACAGAAACCAGATATACACATAATCTACGAACACTTCATTGTGTAGATTCTTTGGTCAAAAATTTAAACATTTTGTAAAAATAAACCAATGGCATAGTTGAATAGAGCTAATTTTTTTTACAGAATTATAACACCAAAATCATATTTTTAGCTGTTGTAGTTTTAAAGTTATGAATTTTTAAAGTACGACTTGGTTTGTCCTTTTTTAACATGGACTGCATCTCCACATTCTGTGACCTCATTCCGCCGATTGCGTCATGCGCAATGACTATATAGTTTATATAAGGCAACGCATTCCCTTATCACTAAAATACTGTTTAGGGTCGACTTATTTTAAACTTTCAACTTTGGCACATGAATAATTAAATAAAGCTTTCAATGGTTTAATAGTTTTTGCACACGGCAAACTCTTATGAATGAAACTCTGAGATAGTACTACGATATGGCAGTTATGCAAGTGGCTGTGAATGGTTGCCAATGACAACGTGTTGCACAGGGAAAATTCTGATCATATATAATATGGACTCTATAGGGATTTTAAAGCTCAAATTAAAACATTCCTGTTTAAATGTCTTCAAAATGCATTCTAGTGGTAATAATTAAATATTTTCTAAGTATCTGCAACTTCCGCCATTAAAAAGATGGCGTGGCCCACGCCATGTCGAAATAAGGCTGAGCCACCTTATGGTGATATGGGTCACTGGGAGAAGCGTAACGAACATGGGACACGACCTACATCAATGAAACTTGGCACAGATATAGATCAATATCTAATGCTTATACAGATTTAATAAAAAAGGGCCTTATCTTATTATTTCACAAAAAATTTTGTATGTGAAGATGCCTTATATTTATATATACCAAAGATTTTCAAAATAAAGGTCGATTGAAAAAAGCAAAATAGCTAGCTAGAAATGTAGGCCAAGATGTCTTCCAAATTATAAGGCCAGAAACGGAACTCAAATATATGTCGAAAGAACTAATTTAATAATAAATAGTCACACACATCGGAAAATTAAAAACTCTGATTTTTCGGCGCCGACGCCCATTTTCGATACACGAAAAGTAGTAGTCTCCCTTGTTTCATCGAAGTATCTACATTGTGGTCCATCAACAAAATTTTGTTGATCCAAATGATACTCTTTTCCACCCAGAATGTTAAAAGTATCTGGATGCACAAAAAAGTGCCAACAAAAAAGACAGTTTGGCACAAGCCACGATCTGTTCCCTTCATATTTTCAGGAGTTCATATTTCACAATTGTTTTTGTTTATTGATATAAACTAAAACTCGGTTTTATTTTCATACATTAAATTGTTTAAGTTTTCTTTTTCTAAATTATTAAATTGTTGAAATTTTTCTATTTTAAATAATTAGTCTTTTATATATGTGCTGAAATGAATATGTACAATGTCATAAAAAAAATTTCCATTTATTTGAATCAGTAAAAGATTTTTATCTTATCAATAAAAGAATAACCATTTAAATAGCACTTCAAACCAGAACAACACTATTTTTTAATAGCCAACACTCAAGTGGTAAATTACCCTTCAGCTGATGAACAGCCTTTTCTAATTTTGTACCATAGTTGCACTCCGAAATGTACCATGATATTCCTACAATATTTATTTTTTCTCTTAGTTTATTGTCATTGACGTAATTTTGTACTGCTTCAGTGTTTTCAGTTTTAGTCTTGAGTGGTAAATGTATAGTTAGTAATATGGGTTTTACCAAGAGCTGTCTCACCCTAAACACAGTGACATCACTTTGGGGAATCCCAACACTAGACTTAGGGTGACAGGATCAACCTGAACAATGTGTATGATAAATTTCTCATTCTTCACCGAGCATCATTCATGTCATAAACATAATCTGGCTATCGTTATCGATGGTATGAAATAAATTAAAATGAAATTTTTCATTCATTTTTATTAAAATTCAACTTAAAAGGTTCAAAAGACACAAACGAGAAACTCATCCTTGCTGATATGACACAACCATGGTTAAAAGAGCTGTCTTTTCTCCCCTCCACAAACCCAAACCCTACTTTCAAGACAAAATCAAAAATAAAAATGAGTAATAAAAAAAAATTTAAAATAAATACAGAGCTAAAAATCAAAATCCTCTGAATACAAAACTATGGCCGGTAGTTGACCTGGGGAACCTCTATGACCTTTATACCTCGTAAGACATCACCTGCCCTGTAGCGAACTGCATTTTAGCTCCTTGTGTTAACCCCTTGAAGTTTGACAAAGACTTTATGAATATCTACTAAAACTCAACTCATGATTCATTCATTGTCCTACTCATGTCCATCACACATTAACTTACTGATTGAACCCATTAATAAAAGTATCAGCATGAAATAAACTTCTGAATAATTCTAGGTCTCTATGCCTTATTATTCCGATTTATTATATTCTGTTGTAATCTAAATGATTACAATTACAGCCGAATGCTACTCATAGGCTTTCACAAAAATGCTATGACTTTAGTTAGATTACATAAATTGACTACTTCTTTGATGCTGTTTTGATAAACAAGAGACAAAACAAAAACCCAGACCAAAGCATAGCTTCAATTGTTAGTGATATCTACTAGCATGTAAAGATATCTCTTTTCCAACAGTAAATTCAGTTTTTGTATGAATAACTACTTAATTTTATTGAAATGAAAAAAAAAATATATTTTTAGTTTATTAAGAATGTTGTATTTATTTTATGATAAATAAAGAAACATAATGGACACTATTTTAAAATTTAGATTAGAAAGGAGATAAACCTATGCCATACAATGTCTTACTCTGGCTTTGGAAGAGGCAGTTTTGCTCCTGTATCTGGTTATGCTGCCATGCAAGGGGCTAGCAGTAGCAAAACATTTGTTCCTGGTAGAACACTTAACTACCATGTTGGTAATGTTGGTAAACGTAGAGCTATGACAGAGGAAGAGTAAGTTATTTTAACATATTCTTAAAATAAATTAAAGTTTTCAAAGTCTTTTTCATTCTCAAACTTACGGAATTAATGGATTTATTTCCTAAATCCAGTATTATTTTATTTCATTATAATTATAGTTTTTAAAATGTCTGCATTTTAAATGAAATTTAGGGTAATTAAACTACAGCTTTTTAAACTAATATTTAGCCCTGTTATGCTTGCTACTTATTTTTGTTTTTCATGCATAGTTGTGGAGTGGTAATATTTTCTATTTCTTTTTCTGTCAATCAGGTATTTTAATGATGATGAGGAAGAGGAGCAACCAGGGGTTAAAGAAGCTTATCAGAAAGCACCTGACAGTCCCGGTGGTGCCAGTGATGATAGTGATGATCCTTTAGATGCATTCATGGCAGGAATAGAAGTAACAGTTTTAAATAAAATATAGCACTAGCAGGTCACTTATAATACAATTACAAAATTGCATGTACTTAGCAGTTATAGTTATATATTCATTACTTTACAAATTAGAGATTTTATGTACAATAGATTTAAAAATATAAAACAGTTTACATCATACATTAAAATATTATTAAAAATGAAAATTAGGCCTATCATTTCGTTAAAGAAAAAATAAATTCCCAAGCGCCAAGGATTATTATGCAAGTTTGATACAAAACTGTATGTTCAATTTTTAACAACAGAAAGAGATCGTTCAAGATACCAAAGAACGTATTTCAACAGTAGAAGAAAAGTTAAAAGAAAAGTGAGTTAAAAAATTACAATTGTAAACAAGTAAGGCAAAGCATTATTTATCATTATTTTATGTTTGTTTTCTGTGGGTTTGAGCCAAATTTTGTATTTTATATTATGTAATATCATAAATCATAGATTAAAGTATTCAATATATATGTATGTCTTAAAGCCAAAATGTCAATTATTCTGTTTTCTCATATAAATTCACTCTAATTGCTTTCATTTTTGGTTTATTTCTTCCAATAACTTAATTAAAAAAATATAATTCATTTAAAAAAAAGAATATTCAGGAAAATAATATAGCTCCATTCTTTGTAGTTCTATCAGTTACACATAAAAATTTCTTTGTGCTAAACTTTGTTTAATATATACAATCATTTATATTTATGTTATTTGTGTATTTACTTGACTAAAGAACTCTAAGCCATAGACAGATTTTGTTATAAATTATTTATAAAAAAAATATGCATTGCAACTTTGACAAAAATCAGTTGAACATTCACTGATGTGATAATTATTCTTGTCATGTTGATTGAAGGGGGACTAGAGATGACATAGATAATGAAGATGTACAGGAATCCTATTTCCGATACATGGAGGAAAATCCAAATGCAGGTGTGATCAATGAAGAAGAAGACATAATTGATTATGACAGTGATGGTAATCCAATCATGGAAAGAAAAAAGGTAGATCACTGTAGTCTTCATTTTTTTTAATGGTAAATATTTTTTTGTGTGGAAATGTTCTTTTCATCTGTACATTAATAATGCATTGTTTCATAGGGATAAAGGAGAGATGTACTAAATATTTTAATTATTTTCAGGTAGTATAATGCATTCAAGGTACTGTTCATATAAATTAGACTACTATGTTGCAATAGAAAACAAAACATAAATTTTGAATGCAAAGTTAAACAATTTTTCAGTACTTTAAATTTTCTTAGCTCATCAAGGACATGAGTATTTTTTTATTTTTTTTTTACCTATCTGTCAATTTAAAAATATGCATAACTACCTCTCATTTTTATATTTATCAGGTTATTGATCCACTTCCAGCTATGGACCATTCAGAAATTGAATATGAACCTTTTGAGCGCAATTTTTACATCCCACATAAAGAAATTGAAACATTAACAGAGTCACAAGTGGATGAACTAAGAAGAAAACTTGGTATTAAAGTATGTTGATCCAATTTTTATTTTGGTAAGGTTTTTTTAAATTAATTAAAAGGGACGTTCCTGGTATTCTATGAAATTATTTCAGAAAAAAACAATAACAAGATGAATTCATTCCCCTGTTGTTTTTTTTTTAGGTATCAGGGTTGTCTCCACCTCGTCCTGTCAGTAGTTTTGGACATTTTGGATTTGATGAAGCTCTGCTGGGGGCTATAAGAAAGTCTGAGTACACCCAACCCACTCCTATCCAAGCTCAGGTAATTCTTTCTTCTTTATATCAGCATATCTAGTGTGCATTTACTCTCTTAGTTATGAACTGTTGTTCATTGGATCATTGTTTAATTTCATTAAAATAAACAAGTAAAATACTTGATGTCTCACTCAGGGTATTCCAGTAGCCTTAAGTGGCAGAGACATGATTGGTATAGCCAAAACTGGCAGCGGCAAAACAGCAGCTTTTTTGTGGCCTCTTTTGGTTCACATCATGGATCAGGTTGGTAAAAAATTTTTTAAAATTCAGAAAGAAATAGTGAAAACACTCACCAACTAATACAGTTTTGTCGATGGGTAGATTGCATTGTGAAGATTCAGTATCATGCTCTTTGCCTACGTAGTCGGAATTTATTTAATTGAATTGTAGCACACGATGAGACTGGGTTGAATGCCTGATAAATGCAGCATATTACACAATCTCCTTTAATTTAATAACTTTTAAAAATTTAATTCTTAAAAGTTAAAGATATGAAATTTATCACTTCCCCAACCCATTCCTACCTTACCTATTTTTGATGTAAACCCTTTCGTAAGGCTTAACAAAAGGAATTAAACGCAATATTATAGTATTTTTAAAGATAATAGATAAACTATTAACAAAGAAAAGTCTTGAGCATGTTATAAATTAAAATTAAATATTCACAATGGGGCATCACCAGTAAGTCCTAGATACGGTTTTTCTAAATGAGACGCATAGCATAATCCCCTTGATTATTGTGCCGAACCGCATGTTATAGTCAATAAAATAGATTTAAGATGTTTGCCATATGACATATTTGGCATAAGTATGTAAAATGAGATTATTTTTTAAAAGCCCTTTACTTAAATAAAATATCTGAACATTAGTCTATTATTTTTTTAATGCAATCACAACAGTCAGACTCTTGGTTTGGCTTGATCCGTCTGCTACTGCAGTTGGTTGGCCTAGTGCCTTAGCAAAAGACTCTGCCAAACAGAGCCATATTTTAAAAATGCAATAATTAGCATGTTTTAAATGACATGTTTTCTTTTTTGTTCTAGAAAGAGCTGCAGAAAGGTGAGGGTCCTATTGGTCTGATTTTGGCACCAACAAGAGAGTTGTCTCAACAGGTACTTATTTATTTTTTGAAGGCCTCTCAAACATTTTTATAGGTACCGGTATAGCTCTTATATCATGTAAACTTTACTGTTATTATTATATATATTATCTATTGTCATATAAATTGTATATTGTGAAATCTAATGTGATTTATAATTTACTTGCATATGTAACTTACTATTGTTAGCACTAGTATCATGTATAGCCACTAACACATTCTCTTATATATATTTTGCTTGTGGTGTGACTGCTTCCATTTCCAGATAGCAGGCACAATATAATTCCAGATAATTAAGCTAAATGATATTTTTTGTAGATAACACAACTGCGTTTGGTGCGTAATATTTTCCTTTCGGAAAATGAAAATGTCTTAATTTAAATATGGTGCAATAAATATTCAGTTTAAAAGGGTTTGGGACATCAGACTATTTAATATAGTTCATGGGCGTGAAATAATAAGTGTGCAGTGACGTATCATGGGGGAAGCTGTGTAGCGAAAATAGGGATTCTTAAATGTACATTACTTGAGTTCATGTTTTGTTGAGTAACTTTAGGAGATGGGAAGTTCACACATTGCTGTTGGCCATGTTTAGCAAGCTGTAACTAGTAATAATATTTTGTTTTTTTAACTTAGATCTACCACGAAGCTAAGAAATTCGGTAAAGTTTACAATATAAACGTGGTCTGTGCTTATGGTGGAGGCAGCATGTGGGAGCAGTCAAAAGCTTGCCAAGAAGGAGCAGAAATTATTGTGGCAACACCAGTAAGTACTAGATATGGTTTTTCTAAATAAGAAACATAGCTTTTATTAGGTAAATTTTGATGGGTGTTTAGGACTGTTTATTGTGTTTTTCCTTGAATTAACACAAATTTCAAGTTTGATCAGATAGTTAAAATATCAATGAGTGAATTTTCGTTTGTTATAATTTTTGTCCTTATGGATTACTGGCTTTTTTTTTTTTTTGCTGTTAAGTATCAGTCATTATGTGATTATTGAATTATATTTTGTTGCTAAGTGTCATTCATTATGTGATAACTGAATTATCTTTTTTGCTGATGTGGACAATAAGATTTTTCTAAGCGCAAATCCATATCACCTAAAATATCATAATCTGTTTATTTTACAGGGCAGACTCATTGATTTGGTGAAAAAGAAAGTCACCAACCTACAGCGAGTTACATATCTGGTCTATGATGAGGCAGATCGAATGTTTGATATGGGCTTTGGTAGGTTGCTATTGCTCTTTACAACTGCTGGGAACATATTTGTATGGTAGCCTGGCTTTTGGGCGTGCGGTAGTCAAGTTTGACAGTTTACCATAGACAGCTTGATAATCTTGATACGTTTAAACTGCAGCAAGTATCTGTTTACACTTTCTAAAATGGGATCATGCAGGAACAGCGTTTTATTTTTATTTACAATAATTAATATATGGATTTCTGATTTTGTAGTTATCTCAACTTCTAAAACAAAAAAAAAGTCTTATAAAATGACTACACTTTCAAAATTGCTAAAAATTACTTGCAATTTAATTTACTTTGCAATTAGGACATATTTATTTCTCAAGTCACTAATTTTATTTTCAGAACCTCAGGTGAGATCCATTGCAGACCATGTGAGGCCAGACAGACAGAGTAAGTTAAAAAAAACAACAAAAAAACGATAGTCAAGATCTAAATCCATCATTTCTATAAATTTATTTGTTACCTTCATTTTTTAAGATTATTTTGTGAATGTTGCATGATAAGTAAATTATCAAATTTTACTTAACACATTCCATTCTGTCTTACGTAATAGCTCTTTTGTTCAGTGCAACCTTCAGAAAGCGTGTTGAAAAGTTGGCACGTGATATCCTAGCTGATCCTATCAGAGTTGTGCAAGGGGAGGTGGGTGAGGTAAGTCAGGATTTTGCAAAAGGCGAAATATAAGTGATATAGTTTACACTTTTGAATGTTGTGCAAAGGAAGGTAAGTTAATCATGTACTGCCGAACACTTATAAATTAATTCAATTTTATAATCCAGATTAAAATTACAGCTATTTAAAGAATAATCTTTTAATTATAATATCTGCAGTTGAATATGGGTGCACATTTTCAAGCGCCAGGCATCAGCATAGTCATCGTGATGCTGCCAGAAGTATTATCAATCGATGATAGAGCATTGATGTTTAAAGTCTGTTTCAGATGTATCTTCAACAATATGATCATTACTGCTACTTTCTACATTAATTTCGATAAATTCTATATCAATAGGTTCAATTTTTTCATCCTCTAAATTTGGTATTCAAGTACAGTAAACTTTGCATGTCCTTGAACATTAGCCTAGAAAGCCATGCAGAACTTTGAACTCTCATAACATTTTAACAAAAGAATATAAAAAACATACAGAATTCATTAAAAAAAAAGAGAGAGTAATTCTCAGCAGTAAATTCTAGCTGAGGAATGAATGGTAATTTAGTTTACTTGTGCCCCATACAAGCATCATATGAGACAATCTGCCAGGCATGTTGCCATCTGGTGTAATGGGCTGGGGCACATGGGTATTTGTGACTGCTAACTGCAGTATGGGGTTGTGCAAGAGGCGATGAGTTCTTTTTAAAAAAAAATATTTTTAAAGATGTATTTTGTAAATATTTTGGGTAAATTAATTACTTGCCTCATAATCTTCATGATAATTTTTATTGATTTCATTGACTACATATTTTTCATTTGGTCTTCTATACAAGCCTTTAAATAAATGGTCTGATTAAGTTGCAATAATATAAACCATTCATTCCTAGGCTAATGAAGATGTGACACAGATGGTGGAAGTTCTTCCTGTTGGACCAGCCAAATGGACATGGTTAATGAGGAGATTAGTGTCATTTACTTCAGGTTGGTGCTACACTGAATTGAATCTATATAAAATGTTTGAGTTCAGTTGTGGCAGACACACTGTATTTTAAATGTGCACAAATGACTGGACACACCTGAATTTAAATATGAGTGAAAGAAAAGGCTATGGTAAAATATGAAGGTATAGGATGAGAAATAGGTATGATTGATTAGATCTAGAACTTTTATTGTATGTGGTGGAACATAAGTGGGCTTATTTCTGTGTCTAATGACAATATATGAACCAGCTTTTAACTAAGTTAATTCTATTTTTACTTATGCTACTCAATGAGATTTCATTGCTACATTTACTGATATTATTGTGTTAATTGCAAAAAAGCGGGGATCTTAGGCAGCTTTAATGGAAAGAACTGTTGAAGAAATGCAGAAAAATTTAAATAATAAATTAAAAATAATTTGATTTGCAGAAGGAAGCGTCCTCATTTTTGTTACTCGGAAATCAAACTCGGAAGAATTGGCTGCAAATCTGAAGGCCAAAGATTTTGACTGTAAGTGCTTTTCTTAAAAAATTGCTATTTACTGTCATCATTCTTCACAAATAAACAGTTTATCATTGTGCAAATGATATTTCAAATCTGTTCAGTTTAAGCTGTCTTTTAATTTTTTTGTAAAATATACTTTTTTTTTAATGTTGTTAATTCTTGATTTTATTTGATGTTATGAAACAGTGGGACTGTTGCATGGTGATATCAGCCAATCTGAAAGAAATGAGATTATTAGTGCTTTTAAGAAAAAGGATTTCTCCATTCTTGTTGCTACAGATGTTGCTGGTCTGTAAAATGTCATGATTTGTCAAATTTTTTTTTACAAATTTGTCGGTTCTGTTATACTCCTTTTTAAAACTGATTAAAATTAAATCTTAGATTAAATTAGAAGTTTTGTGGTAAAAGAAATTAACAGAATATTTAAAAATCCAGGCAGAATTTTTTTTTTTTAAAAATAAGCTAATTTCAATATTTTACTAGGAATTCATTTTATTAATTTCTTAGAAATATGTTTGCTGGTATTTCCTGTTTCAAGCAATATTCAAAGCAGTTTTAAATTTGAATTGATAAAAAATTTCAGCTCGTGGGTTGGATATTCCTCATATAAAAACAGTAATAAATTACGATGTCGCTCGAGATATTGATACCCACACACACAGGATTGGTCGAACTGGCCGTGCTGGTAAGTTACTACATTATCAAGATACTTTTTTTAACATGTTAGGTCTCACTTATCAATGTCTTTCACCTACCAGTTTTTAAGTAAAATATCTTAATTCACATTGGTAATAAGGTTAACTTAGTTGAGGTTTTTCACTAGTAAAATTATACAGTTAACCATATTTTTCAACATCTTAGAACAATGATATTTCGACACAGATGTTGTTATTGGAGTGCTATTTTTTCAACAGGAACCAAGGGTCACGCATACACGTTAATCACTGAGAAGGACAAAGAGTTTGCTCCACATTTAGTAAGGAACTTAGAAGGAGCCAACCAGCATGTACCACCTGGTCTATTAGAACTGGCACAGAAGGTATAACATTTTCTTGGGATAATATATTATTGACAACTTTAACTGAACAGTGACTTATATGGGGTACAACCATGTTTGAAAAAACATATATTTTCGGGGAGGAAAGAGTAAATAGATTGATTCCCCATCAAATCACTGGTTGCTGCCATGGTTTGACAATTTAAACATGGATTGGATGATGGTACCATGAATTGAAAGGAAAGAAATTATTCAGACTAAAATTATACTTTAAAAAAAAAAAGAAAAGATATTATTGGCTCTGTTTTAATTAGCCCAACTCAAGTTACAGTTACAGCAACCACAGGCAATCTGTTAAGTTTTAAAAAAATTTGGTTACTCCCAATATATTCTTGTTTTTGATAATTTTCTATTTAAAAGTTATAAAAATAGTAATCAATGGTCTCTATTTTTCTTTAAAGTTATAAGTAATAATGCTTTAAAATATAACATTTGAATTTGTTTGGTGTCTGAGTAAAGAGTACATTATTTGTACTTTTATAGTTTACATGGGTCACAATGACATTTGTATTTTTTTTTTAGTGTCCATGGTTCAAGAAAAATCGCTACAAAGGTGGTAAAGGGAAAGTCCTGTCCAGTAGAGGCCTAGGATGCAAGGAAAGGCCCGGTCTGGGCTCAGAAAATGTGAGGATTTGAATTTTGTTAAGACGCAATCATTGTGGTTTAACTACATACATGTCGTTAGAAAATAAATTTTTCGTAAGGTAAGAGATTAGAATTTTTTTTTTTGGTTAAACCCAAAAGAGATATTGCCCAGGTATATTTGACTTTATATATGTAATTGAGTACTTTTAGCAAGGCAGCAGATTAATCTAAGTATTTGTATTTTAATTTATTTTGTGCATCTTGAATCTCATACGTCTTAATAAAATAAATTAATTAAAGCCAAGGTAAGCTGTTTCATTTGGCCTTAATAGAATAGTTCAGGTTTATTTCAGGAGAAGTACCCATAAGTGCCAGTGTTAACACTTCAAATAAAAGTGTAACCAACTGTCACGGCAATGAGTTGCAATGAATCATGAGGGAATTGTCATTATTTTTTACTCTAATTATCCCAGAGCACACATGTGCAAGATACAATGAGTTTAAGCAGTTTTCGTGCAGCAGCAAATGCAGGTCCTCAGTCAGACAGACTCTCTGCCATGAAATCTGCCTTTTACGTAAGTATAAAAAAAAACCATAAGAAATCCTGTCATGGAAAACATGTTTCAAGAAATACAGAACTTGGTTTTTTTGTGTTAAAATACTGTTGCCTATCTGAGAGAATTTACAGAGTAAATGAGATCTAAGTGTTTATAAAATTATTTTAAAAATTTAATTTACAGATTAAAAATATTGCAATTTTTTTTTTCATCAGTCACAATTTAAAAGCAACTTTGTGTCGGCCGTGGAGCAGGATAAATCAGCCAGTGAAGAAAACTATGCAGCAGCTGGAGGTACAGCACAGCTCAACTCATCCTTACAGCCTCAGATGATTCAACCCTCTGGAATAGGTGGAGCCTCTCGGATGGGATTAGGCAGCGAAGGGCCGGCCAAGAAGAAGAAAAGAAGTAGATGGGATTGAGCATTTACGTGAAAAGGAAGACAGAATTAACCTGTGGGCTGGACGTAGTTTTACTTTCGTTGAGGGATGGGGTTAGAGAGGTGTGGGTGTTAATTAAGCAAAAGTTAATGAAGGTTGGGGATTTCTTTAGTTTCGTTGAGAGGTCTTAACAGGGAGAAGAGAGAGTTTAAGTCTGATGGAAGGTTCTTAGTTGTTTCAAGTTAGGTAAATTTGTTTATGAAAATAACTGATCAGTATCATGAACAATAATTTATTTTTTATTGAAATGTATTCAGTGTTGTTTACTGAAGTTATTTTTAGATAATGGTTTTTTTATTTGTTGTTATTTAAATTGCATTATTTAAAATGTTTTAATCTGTTCAAAAAATTGGTTGCTTCTTCAAAGGTTTGAATTTTTTTTTTGAGTTGACCCCAATACTTGTTATTTTTAAGTGTAAGAAAGTTTTGATGTGAAAAGTATTATACTGAATAAATATGATTAAAAGGAATGACTTATTAATAATAGACCAGGTGTTTGTCAGACGACACACACTCGAGTCATCCGCTCTAATACTAATTGTGTATTCTCAAGTGCATGGAGTGCTGATGAAAATTTCAATTGTTCACTCTTTAATAATAAATAATAATAATGCTTAGTTTGCAATTTCAAAATTATAAACAAATTATTTTTCCACTCTAAATTTTGACAGGAAGACTGGAATTGAATGCTGTTAACTTTTGTGTGTTTTTTAAATCTGAAAGCCATTCTCGTTTGTTATTCATTGAACAATGAAAAAACAAAGTGAATGTTTGTGTAAATGATTTTTCTAAATAAAACAGGTAGTACTTGGTTGGTTTTGTCAGAAACTAAGGTGCATGAAATTAATATTCAAAGCAAAGATGTTTGTAATCATATGGTTTTCTTTGATCTACTAAAAGTAAATTTCTCAAATGAAATTGCAGAACTTTTTAAGTTATCCAAAACTAATAAATGTATAATGATTAGGATTTATGATATTATAGCTTGTTCAAAAGGGAAGAATTTTGTCATATTAACAACCAAAGCAAGGCTTAAAAAACAGAATCTCCAATTGCTGGTTTTACCAGCAAACATTTTACAAAAGAAAGAATTTTAAAAAAGAATATCTCTTAATATTGTAATTAAAATATTTGAACTAATTATTAACGTCCAGGCCACCTCCTAATTTAAATAATTTCTCCCCCCCCCCCCCCCCCCCCCTTCATTTTTTTCCCATTTTCATTGTCATTAAAAGAAGATGAATTTCATTTATTCATTTGTATTGTTTCTGTGTTCTTTTTAAAATTAACAACTCCTTTAAATGAATTTTAACTTCATAATTATTAATATCAATCATCAAATTAGTTCATGTAAATAAATAAAGTCTCCGGTAGTTAAATGTATTTAGACTATTTTTAACACATTGTGGACAATTTCATAGGGAACAAAAGGAAAATAGTCAAGTCTGATCAGTTTGAAATGTATTTATTTACATGTATTAAAATAAATAAATTCCAGAAAGGAGGCAAGAGAATACTTTGAAATGGGGACAGTAAGGAAATACACTCTCTAAAGTCAAGCTAAACATGAGATTTAAAAAAATAAATAAGGAAGCCACACAAACAAATGCATAACATAAGTAGAAAGTATTTTGATGTATATGACCAAATACATAACCACTATCCAGAGACAAAATTGCTGTGATTAATTCAGTTTTATTTAGTAGTTTTTTTGGGGGAAAAGTATTTTTAATCACTTAAAAATGAAAAGAAGATAAAACAATTGATAACTAGAATTGGGTAGATGAGTTATTACTTTTTCAATTAAGCTGCAAAATGCAGTTACATTATACTTATTATAAATGAAAAAAAATTGTAACCATTTAATCTTCTAAGAAACAAATACATGGGACTACCTATTTAAATTCAAAACTTACACCATTTCCAAACCAAGATTTGAAAGATAGCAGAGAGACAATTGTTTTTATTTTCATTCAGTACTAAAGCAAACAAAATTAATGATAATAAATAAGGAATGGTTTTGCATCTATTATTGAGCCAAAACAAGGATATTTAGAGATGATGTTAACCTTTGGTAATCTGATGTAGCTTATTTATATAGTGCATGGTAAATTCAAAATTAAAAAAACAAATGCCTGAAACTGAAAGGTTAATAATTTTAAAAGCCAAGCCAAACTTTGCATAAGCATTGAATGAAATCCTGATGAGCCATACAACAAAGGTGACATTTGTTAAAAATCATGTTGTCCTTTTCCGAGTGATATCAAAGCTTTAAAATACAAGTTTCATCCACTTATTCTGGAGATTGACCACATGTAAAATTTCATGACAGATAGGTTTTGCGTACCAGGTAGACCAGTGGCACACAACCTTTTTGAGGTGTGTAATCTGACTGAACAAATTATTTTATTATGGATAGGGAACACACACATTACACCCCCACCCCCCACCCCACTAGAGCCATGAGCTAGACATTTTGTAGAACACAGACTCAGATGAAATAAGTAAAGAATGCCAGTGGAGATTCTATAAGATTTCAAGAACATCTAATGATTGGTCTAATAACCTGGTTTAAGTACAAGGGAAATTTGATAACACGGTTTAACGATTGCAAGTCCAATGCATTCACATGAATAGTGAAGCCTGGAATTAGTTAATAACTACATGTGAAATCCTTCAGTAGAGTAGAAACCCATTCAACTTCAAGAAACATTTTACCACTTTACTATCCATTTCAAGTACATTTCTGATGACTGCAAAAATCAGTGTATAACATTTGATGAAACCCTGTGGCTAGCTTCAATATGAAGATAATGAACATGTAATTATATTTGCAAATGTGACTGCTTATTAAAGTTCCAAGTGAACCAAAGGTTTATCCTACAATAAACCATTCACAGATTTATGTGCATTGACACGAGGGGATTCTTATTACTATTGCCAAAGGCCGTTTTCATAGTTCAGTTATTTTGAGTTTGAGAAAAATAACATCCAACTCTTAAAACCAAGTTATTATAAATATGATGGCAATGCTGGCAGACAAACAATGCCCAAATGAAAACAACTGAACAAATGTATGGCAAAACAAAAAATGATCACAGGAATACTGAAAGTAAACAAGTTTGATTCTAATTAGAAGGAGAAGAGCAGATTGTTGTAGATTTACAAGTAATTAGAGTTGTCAGGTAGTTGTCATTAATCGAACAATGCTCTGGACTTTGGGATCTGCCTGTAAATCTCATCCCCAAATAGAAATAAAAAAAAAAAAATCTCTTTATTGATAAAGTTACAGTTAAATACTGATATTTCTTATTGCTGTCATAAAAACATTGGAGAATTTAAAAGTACACTAAAATAATTCTTCATTACTTTATTACATTGTATTTTTAAAAAAAGCAAAAAACTCCAATAGTTATTTCCATGTTACTAGCTGTCCATGGAATACAGATTAAAAAAACCCCTTATTTTTTTAAATTTTTATAATTTTGTTATGAGATTCCACAAATTATTTGGTAACTTCAAGCTGTAAAGCACAGACTTCCAACATTGGAATAAGAAATAAGGTTTCATGATATGAAACATTTATTTTTAAATTAGGCATGGTGATAAGGGCCTAAAGTTGGGAGAGTTTAATATATTTTAAAACCAATTTTAAAGCCATTTAAATTTCATGGCTCTGTCAATTATGGAAAGGTTTCTGTGACTAAAGATGGCAGCACATCAATGGCATATCCAGATAACAATCTAGGGCAGGGGAGGGAACCACCGCATTACTAAACAACAAACATGAGAACACCATAAAAGAACAACACATTTTTTTCTCTAAACTATGTGTATGGTATATAGAAAAACCATAAATAACAAGTAGCCATTGGCTAGTTACCTTATTCTATCTTTCTCAGAGTAAGTTAGTGGTAAGTAGGACAAACATACAACACAAAATATTCCAAATGAAATCTGAGAATCAAAGAATGTCACAATTAAACCAGGGCATAGAATTGATTTTAAGTATTTGTTTTTTATTGTCCTGTTGGTAACAGCTGTCATAAAACACTTCAAACATCACATTTGTGTATTTTTTTTCCAAGCACAGAACTTTTATTCATGTTGAGGTTTGTTGCATAATCTCGCATGAGACACACTGGATTCACCAAAAGCATTACGTCAAATAACCTCTAATCAATGCACTAACAGAGATGGTCAAAACAAATGAAGAAGTTGTTGCTGTAGTTTATACCAGTAAATCCCAATGTTTTCAGGCTACTTCCTCCTTTGTTAAAGAAATGCATCTCAAACACCCGGAAGGATGGAAATTTAGCCCCAGCTAATGTACTTAGACATTACTAAACATTGGCAACAAAATCTGTATATCACGCACCAGGACAAACTTCAAAATTTTCCCAATCGTCCAATTCTTGATTTTAGAGGAAAAGTTAGTATCATCAACTCATCACGACATTGGACTGGACCCTCCACTTGATCAATCTAATTTAAAGTCTCATTGAGGTTCCTTCGATTTTGCTATGGATAGCAAATAAAAATGCTTATACAGTTAGTTTGTTGCTATCATCATGAGGATCATAAATGAGGATCATCATTACACATAATTCGCAGTCTGAAAATAACGCCTTGAGAACTTGCAGAACTCTGCTCATCAGATAGGCACCTATCACTGTCTCACTTTTGGAAACACTGGTGTAGACTATCATGTTCATTTGTTAGGTTGCCAAATATTTGAAAACAAACAATGTTGCACTTAATTATCATCAACAAAATGCAGTCCCAAAAATAAGCGAATGTTTAGTTAACATCTTTCTAAATCATTAATTGATTCATCATGACCTTTTTCATTATACTTAACAATTCAGAAATCACAGAAACTTTTAAAACTTTTCTGGGCAGTGCAGATGGCCAATTAATTAATACCCCCCCCCTCCCCTTAATCTCATAGTTTTCATGAGTTCCTTTTTCGGATATCTATAGAGATTAATTTGTTCAGACCTGCATACCTGTATACAGGTATAAAATATAGCACAAATTTTATGAACAACTAGCAGATAAATGAAGGACCAACAGAAAGCAGACAGCGACGATGACGGCTGTCTACTTCAGAAGCTACAGCATCCCCAACAAGCACCGTTCTTGATGTGTAGACAAAGTTACCAGACAAGTCTACAGCATCCCCAACAAGCACCGTTCTTGATGTGTAGACAAAGTTACCAGACAGAAGCCTACAGCTGGGGATGTCAACACATTGGTTCAGTACATATCTAATATTAAATAGTGTGAGAAATACAAAATAGACTCTTATTTACACAGACTGTGGGAAAGGTTGCATTCAAAGCACAAGCTAATGCCAACCAGGATGAGATAATAAATAGACAACTGTGGAAATATGTACAAGATCAACAACCTAACTTGGGAGAAAAGTTATCAGTCTTGTCACAAGTCCAAGCAATAAACTTGACCACTGTCAATTTAAAGTACCGGTAACACACAAGTATTTATTTTATTTAACCTGACTTTTATTTATTAAAAAAAAACTTTTTAAAAGTCTAGAGATATAGCTGCAGCGAAATAGCCAAGACACAAGGACAGTACACAATAGTACCAGAGATCAAATCCAAGGCCGCCCCCCCCCCCCCCAGGAAACTCTGCAGGAATTAACTAAAACGTCATCCCTAGCCACCTTCCCTTTTTTCCCACACCCCACCATGATTGTTAATACATCTAGTTGGACTAGTTCTTTGGACCAAAGCAATACATCAAAATGGTCAAATAAAACTTGTGGATCAAGGCAGACCATCAGATTCAAGATTCTAGCCCCAAATTTTTGTTTCTAAGCATGGAGGACAACCCTAATGTAACACAATTGCATCTTATTGACACAGTCCTATTTATAGGATTATTCATTTAAAAATGCTATGAGCTTTGGGAAAAAAAATATAAAAAAATCTTTAAGTGCATTATTTCAAATGAAAGAAAACAAATTTGCATCAATAAAAAATAAATAATAATAAATTCAATCCAGTAACTTTGCATTTGTATTTCATGACAAGCAGATTTCATGGGTATATTTTTAATACATTACAAATCAAACGTTTGACTTCATTTGCCAGACTAAGACTAATAAAAAGCTGACAGTAGGACATACAACAGATTTCCCTTCGCTGACTAAAAGAAATGCAAGGTGTGCGTATTATTCATGGCAACTTGCCTACTCTGGTAAAAGAAGCAAGCGGTCAGTCACACTGCTACTTGCCTACTCTGGTCAAAGGAACAAGAGGTTATTCACACTGCTAGTTAGTGATGAAAGAAGAAACATTGGAAGAAAAGAAGGGACACCCTTAGAACTGATGATTTGCTGCTGCCAGAATAAAAAGACAGACGAGAGTACGTTTCCTCAAAGTGAGAAACAACTTCCAAGTTTGTCAAGCATATTTACAGCAGAGAGAGAAAAGCGAGGTCCGGCCGTATATCCTTTCATACTGTATTTGAAATGTGCTTTATCATGGCAGTCAAATATGTGCCTCACTAATAAACAATCGCAACCTCATGTATTTATTATTTTAAAAATTTCAATGAATGGCACATTCTTTCTCTCCCATAACACCCCCTTCCCCCTTGCTAACGACCTAATTAGCCTCACATAAAGTTCATCCGTTGTATAATCATGTGAAATGTCCAAGGCAATCTTTGACATTTCTCAGAATTTAATCTCAAACCATATGTCATTTGTCTCAGTCCCCATAATTTATGTACTTAGACTTTAATGACTTTATTATAAATACATGAAAATTTCCTACATAGCATGAAAAGCTTGTAAACATAATTCACACCCCATTCTCAAGCCAACACAAGCAGCATCAATACAATTATTTCGTACATACAATTTGTGCTTCGAGAAAGGAAATTTTCTGGGAAATAATTGAAGACCTCATCAACAAAAGGGATGTTTTCACAACAGTATGTTTGTTTTAAAAGTGTTCCCCTGAGGGAAATGTGCTGAGAAAAAAATTGCCTGGTAATTTTATCCTCCTGAGTTCTTTAAATTACCGTACATATTTATACGACAGAACATCTGGGGAATCTAAGAGCTGATGTTCAGCCTGCGATGACATCCAATTACGACCAGTTACACCAGTTTATACAGATGTAAAATGCATCAAAGTGACTAGCTCCATTTTAAATTTAAGAAAAGGATTTCCATCAAAACTCTTGCCGCAGCATGATCTCCTCTACAGTTCATGTATTACAACAAGCATATTGAGATCGTAAAATAATAATAAAAATAAAATTAATTAAAAAAAAAATATTCTGATGAAATAGGTTTTGAAAACTATTTGTTTTGAGGATTGACCTTCTAAAGGGTTTTTGACAATGACATATTTATGCAAGCTTCAACATACCTCGTTTTGCTTTATCATTAACATATATATTCCATAGTCTACATCTCAATATCGTCATCAGTAGGTGATCAAAAGAGAAGGTTTATAAAACAGAACAGAGTTTTGTTAAATTAGATCCTCAAAAATTAGGGGGAGTTCATTTTTATTGTTGAACACAACATGATTTATTGATTTAAAAAATAAATAAAGTAGTTAACAAGGTTTACCTTCATACGTGGTAACGTTTCAACACTTTTAAAGTTTTTTTTAATCTCAGAAAATCATGTTATACTAACTGTGCAAATTTCACGCACTTTTCCATTTACCAGGGGCACTGTCCGCAATAATTGTGACTGGAGAGTGGGATGAGCTAAAGAAATAAATAATAATAACTGACAGTAAATTATAATGAATAATTGCTCTCAAGAAATATTTTGATTTGTTTATTATCAACATTTAATTTTGATTCTAACCGAGACAATTATAATTTAAATCGACCGCTGGTGCCAAGTTCTTCACGAGACATTTTGAAAGTAAATGACCGCCAGCATTAGGGAAAAAATGAAAACTCAAAGGATAAAATCGAACAGTTATACAGCGAAATACAGCATTAGCAGCATAAAACTTATTATTTCACACTTTAAAATAAACAAAACAAAGAATACCTGTGTCTGAAATGGATCGTTGGGGTATTCCCTGATTCAAATGAATGACTATGAAAGGTAGTTGGAAATAAGAGAAAGATATGCACAAACTTAAAGTGGACCTTGAAATTAGGTTGGGGGATATCTATAGAGCTTAAGGAATAAATGAATACAAAGAATGGTGGAAAATTTTGTTACCATGAAATAATAATTAAAAAATGTGATATGCAAAGGGATAAAAAAAAAATAAATCAACAAATGATCCCATAATACATGAGAATTCTCTTCTATTGTATCAAGCAATAATCATATAACAATCAAAATAAAATACAGATCAATCATGTGAAACAAGCCCCATAGTTTTTATATCACCAAAGTTTCAATATATTCAAATTAAAAATAAATGATAAGACAGATGAATATATGACGGTCTCAACATCAACAACGCTTCTTCGCAAATCATTTGTGAAACGGAAATATAAATTATGATTATCAACAGATGATTATGTGGGCCGACGTTCTCAGAGACACTAATCGAGTGAGCAATAAGTCTTTGTGATAACATGAGCAGTTCATTGTGACAAGAAAGTGTTAGTGGAAAAATGACAAGGGCGTGTGGAAAATAATGTATGCTGATTATGCACATTTGATTTGAGAACACATCTTTTGAAGTGATTGACAAAGAACAAAATTGGTTCAGCTGTGGCGGCCGAGCACCCGATTGCTATCAGTGATACATGTTTTATCGCTGCTTACTGAGTTTAGTGACTACATGTGTTTTTCTATACCCAGACAGGAGCTTCCTTGGCCAGTCCAGATTGTGTGTGTGTGTGTGTTTCACTGGTATTGTAGAGTACTCCCTGCGTTATAATCTGCTATCATCACAGTAGGCTTTCCTTCATTCCACCCAGGACCCATTCTTGATCTTCACCTCCAGTGCATCGACCTGGTGGGAGAAAGAGTAAATTATAGGGAGGTTTGGTAGGGTAGGATGCGGTCAAGAGCTTCATGCTCAGTACCGCTTCTGCAGATTGTTTGACAGGTAGGGTGTGACAAATCTGGATGGAAGGAGGCCTCATGTTACATTATTAAATCAAGGAATATTTTAGGTAACAAGTAACAAATGGAAAATTTTCGGTAACAAAATGTGTATAATTAGAAAATTTTCCACATGGTTCATTTTTCTGTAGGGAACATTTGAAGTTTTTCAACTTTACTTGGCAGTGACTGTAAGAGTAGCCAATGAACTATTGAACTAATGCATTTGACAATAAAATCAAGGAGAAGCCACTGCCAACCTTTTCTGTTATTTTCTTTGACATGTCAAGGCTTGGTGCCAATTGTTCCCGTTGGTTTTTATTTGCATTTGTTGTATTAGGATTGATCATTAGACATTACTATTTATCATCATGCTTTATTTAAATAGTACATATATACAAAAAACCTCATTTCAAGAATTTCCCGAAATGTTCTACGTTACAAATGAAGCTTCACCATTATAGCGTAAACAAATGATTTTGTATTTTTTTTATCTACAAGCTTATTGACACACCTTCTGTTTATGCTCTCTGTGTAATATTAGCAGCACATACTATGTATATGGGTGGGAGCTTACCTATACTTGGTGCGTCCTTCTCTCTTGTACCCGGCTTACCCAAACATTGGTCTGTATTTACATGGCGAAGTGTTTTGGTCTGTGGTTAAAAGAATGTATTTTTTATGCAAGGGTCACATGAAAAAGAAACTGGTTTCTCATCTTTAAAAAAAAAATACAACTAAAAATCAAAGTATTCATCTGAGCTACTATTATTATTAACTTTTTTTATTGCTCACAATCAACAGAGAAGCTGACAGGGATACGATTGTATTTTTGTGTTAAATCTCAAGTGCCAGGGATTTAAATAAATGCCAATTACTTCAGTTCATTTAATTAATTAATGAATTCATTGGTAGCAGGATCAAAAAAATTATTAGAATAACACGTAAATAAATTTTGCCTTTCATCTCATGAACATCAGTGTTCAAATCCCATTGTTTAAAAGGTGGTGTTGAGGTTAAGATAAGCACAAACCACTTTGACATTTTTCAAAGAGATGCCTTCCATCATGATTTATTTGAGATTGGCAAAGAGAAAATACTGGTTAAAAAAAGAAAAATTATTGGATGGCCAATCTATAAAAGCTAAGCTTTTTTTTATTTTAAATTTCATAGAATGGATGGCTCATTGTTCAAAGCTAAGCCAAGTGAAAGATTTCAAGGGAGGCTTATACATCTATACTGAACTGCAACTGATTTAATTTGGAAAGCAGACTGTTGTGCAGAACAATTTAAAATTAGACTTGAGGTAGGTAATCGATATTTAAGACGTTTTAAAATGTGCTTGCCATTAGTGAAACAAAACTAGATACAAATCTCCAATAATGTTACTAAGACAAACTAAGAACATGTAAGTAATGCAACATTGACAATAAGTTTTAAAAAAAGGGCATGCACCATCAAACAAAATTAGATTACTAAAATTTCTTTTTAAAAAATTTCTCTTGTTTAAAATAAATAATAATCATTCATTAAACATTGCATGTATTTTAAATAATTCTTTGTAAAATATGGGTTTAAAATAAAGTTAGTATAATTTTAAACTGCACAAATACTTTGATATAGTGTGTTATTTGGGGCTCAAAAAATAGCTGTGCTTTACATAGGGTTAATTTCTATCCATGTTCTCTTGACTTCCCACCATATTTGTTTATTTCTAACTGCATGACTTAGAGAAATTGGATCCTCCCATTGGGCCTCCCATGCCCCAACAAGCAACAGCACACCTCTTTGATATAGTCCCATTTTGAGCTATGTGCACCACATTTGACAAACTTGACCTCACTGTCCACAACACCAATGCACATGTCATCGTCAGTCATCAGCTGTTGGTTCTTGGTGAGGCAAAACACCTAGAGTTGAGGACAGCAAGCAACAACACATTCAGCTAACAACAAAATGGCACTCATGCAGCTACAGATTTGAAGCAGGACAAGAGAGTGGACTCATTTGGTCAACGCCATAGTGTCAAAAAGTTGAGTGAACAGCTTCAAGATATAGATATGGACTTGCGTACATTTTTATTTCTGTTTTCAAGCTTCCTTTCTAAAAGATCTGAGATTCAAAATAGAGATTGAATAGTTAAACCTCATCACTATTGTCTTAATGTGTGTAAAAAAAAAAAAAAACTTCTTGGGCAAAATTAATTACATTGTGTCATTTGCCTGTTTATCAAGATTGCTCAAGATTTAAATAATACGCTACCTAAAAGATGAAATATGAATCTCAAATAATTTTGAAAGGTAATGAGAATTAAAAATGTTAAAAGGCACATCATACAAAAAAATCAAGCATTTATTAGCCAGCACAAAAAAAAACAGTTAATTTTGGCAGATGATGCTGTCAAAAAGTCTTGTATCTGTGGACACATTCAACATGCTGAATAGGTTGGCACATAAATACAGGACCAATACTTTTTTTAGTGAAAAAAATCTTGAAATAGGTCAAACTGAGCAAATGGACTTTAGTAGGTAGGGCTGGCTACTCCATAGGGACATATTTGAGGCTTGCTAACTATAATTTTTCAAAAGAAAACTTGTTTCTAAACTCCTTTCATCTATATTTTGTCCAAGATAACTGTCTGTTTTAACTTCTTAACAGACATTTTTAAAACCAAATTTCTTACATCTTGATGAGCTCAAATTTCCTACCTAGCGATTAAAAAGACTTTTCAATCTGTTCAAATTTGATAAGTACTTGTGTAACCCATTTGTTAGAAATAACAATTTTTTAATTTTTTATTTTAAAGAGATGGAAACTGTGTTATGCATTAAATCCTAACTACTTAATCCGCTTGACATGGCCAATAGCCACGGGTAATACTGTGGTAGGCTGTAGGATCCACTGGCACAAGAATAAAAGATGGCTGATAAAATTCTTCAGGTTAACACATTTTCATAGAAGTTAAAATGTATGTATTTCTGACCCAGTTAGTATGCCATACCCTTCAGCACTAAAAAAAAAATAAAAATAAAGATGCACAGAACATTCCAACTAATTGAAATATTGACAAGCAGTGTTATGACGGAAAACAAGGTGCACTTTAGTGAAGGCTGGTGGTGGAGGCTCTAGAACTACAAGAATGGCCGAGGGGGTGGCTAGTCCGGACTACCTCCAGGTTATACTGCCAACGCTGGTTGCCTCCCATGCCGTGGCACTGAAATAATTTAACGGGTCCTCCTAAACTTGACACGTCTAGACAGAGATCGTCTGTCTGCAAGGTTTCCTTGGCTGTGTAGGAAAATACCTGAGTGGAAGGCAGTAGCACACAAGAAATATGACATGGTAAACAGCTTGAAATATAAATCAACATGTTAAAAAACTGTGGCAAAACTCTCAGCCTCACAGAAAGGCAAGTCTTGGAAGCTGTTGACACTATCATGACATTAAACAGCCTCACAGAAAGGTGAGTCTTGGAAGCTGTTGACACTATCATGACATTAAACAGCCTCACAGAAAGGCGAGTCTTGGAAGCTGTTGACACTATCATGACATTAAACAGCCTCACAGAAAGGCAAGTCTTGGAAGCTGTTGACACTATCATGACATTAAACAGCCTCACAGAAAGGCAAGTCTTGGAAGCTGTTGACACTATCATGACATTAAACAGCCTCACAGAAAGGCAAGTCTTGGAAGCTGTTGATACAAAACTGAGATATTAAAAGGATAACTGATAAAATAATTTGTTAGCTTAAATTAATATGCACATCGCATATTTGTCGATAAAAAAAATTACTTTCTTCATTCCCAACTTAACACATAAACTCAAGTATTATAAAACAAGTAATTTTGAAATGAATAAACTTATTCATTAATGCACAAACTAAAAACCCGCTCCACCCCAACAATAAAAAAATTAATTATATTTTATATGGACCACAAAAATTTGCGAAATAAATGAAATAGTTTGATCTGTCCAAGAGATTTCTACTCTTTTGAAATGCCAATTATTGTTACATATTCTGCACCGCCGTTTCAATAAAAGATTACCTGATTGCCTCCCTGTCCATGGCACCTCTCCAGACCAACTTTCTCCCCACTCTTACGACCCATTGTATCTAAGCAAAGACTGGTGGCTTTGTTTCTCATCTGTCGGTAACGTTGTTAGAAAGATATATGAGTATCATCATTTAAAAATCTACACAGACGTACTTTGAATTTTTAATTTTTTTTTTCTTTCTACCAACCATACACAAAATGTTGTGCAAATACAATGGGATATGTGTTTTTACTTTAAAAAAAATGTCAGATTATTTTTTGTATCAATACATTAACTAGAGATGATTAAACAAAAGTTGTATTCGTTTATTTTTTAAGCCAAAACATACAGAATCAGGTTTTGTTATTCCCGTTTTCCAAGATGTTTCTACTTCCTTCAGTATTCAGTATTAAAAACTCAATAAATGGCCAATATACAAGGTGAACAAAAATATGATCGGAGATAGAAACTGACCACTCCTAGGGAATAACAGTCTACATGATCGGAGATAGAAACTGACCACTCCTAGGGAATGACAGTCTACATGATCAGAGATAGAAACTGACCACTCCTAGGGAATGACAGTCTACATGATCGGAGATAGAAACTGACCTCTCCTAGGGAATGATAGTCTATCGGCAACTGAGACTCAGGGTAAATATTCTCCAGGTACCACCTGAAACTTTTGCAGTTCAGCTTTTGCCTTAGTTCTTGTCTACTGGACACATCCCCATACTCTGTGGCCCGAACACCTGAAGATGTACAAGTGCAGCTTTCAGAACATCAGAAGTTCATGAGAATTAATTTTTTTTCCAATTATATTCCAAGGATAAAAGCTGAAGTCAATAAAGCAAGTTTCCTTTTTACCAGGATTGATCTTGTAGAAAAAGTCTTTGTAGTCATCCATCCAGACCTCGACGATACGCTGGGTGTTATGGTTGATGATTCTTCCCACGCCTCCCGGCCAGGAATACGGCGAGGTCTTGCGGAAAACATGGCCAACTCTTGAACAGGTAACAATGTAGATTTTCCCTCCACACATCCATATCTGTTTGTGAAGAGAGCAGGATTATAAAGTGACAAAAGACCAACTCCAACAATATAATGCCCTAGTTTTTTAAAATAATTATTGCAAGAGTTGAGTACAACTTTTGGTGCCTTTTTAAAAATCTTTTTGTTAAACCTTGAATAAGGTCTCCTGCTGTTACGTAAGTCTGAACAGGAATATTCGGCAGTTTATACATCACACCTTAAACAAAAAAAAAAATATACAAAAAAAGTCAGATGTCAGAGGCAGAAAACAGTAAAAGTCAGAGGCTGTGAGAGTCAGTTAGATGTCAGAGAGCAGTGACAGTCCATATCTTTACCCTAAATGACATCTCTAAGTTCTCTCCACCCCAGATGTCCATGCCTTCATCATATGAGCCCATCTCATAAAAATAGGCCCTGTCAATGGCAAATAAGCCACCAGCCATGGTTGGAGTCCTGAGAACATATACAATACGTAATAACAGATTCAAAATAATAGTTTTGTGTAAAAGCAGGAGAATAAAGCCCTAGCGTTTAATCGCTGGGTAACCTTTTTTGAGATTTTTTTTTGGCATTAGTTTCTAATATTACTATTTCAAATAGCCTTTGGTCACCAAATAAATGTAAGTATCCCTTTTAATCCACTCCCAATTCATCAAGTTTGTGATTTTAAAATAGTATTATTTCTATTTGAATAAAATGATTTCTTTGATAACCTAAGAAAGGCTGGCCAACTAGAGTGCTGGCTTTAAGTTTGGTAAAGCATCCTGTATCATGTCATGCAACTAACCTTGTGGGCTGACTACGATCCCCTGCCCTTCTATCCAACTCCCTCTGTGGAACTTGATACCATCGAAAATTGAGTTTCCAGTTAAATCCGCCCCATGTCATGTCAGATCCAGTTATGTATTCAAATGTGTCATCGCTGATCACATCAATGATAGGGCACACGACCGACGTCCTGAGGACACAGAACATATAATGCATTGTTGGCTGAGTCAAAACTTGAAAAACTTATGTAAATAACTACTGACAAAAATACTGGGCCTTAAAAAAAAAATTGTGTGGTATAATTAGCCCCCCTGTGTCAATGCTACACTGACACTGTTTTAGCCACCACACCAAAGCTCACCTGTCATTGTGTATCTCAGAGAGCAGTGGCTCTAGCCAACCCTGTGTACACTCACAGTGAGCATCAAGAAATGTGATGACCTGACCTTTAGATATCTGAGCACCTGGATGAAACAGACAATTAACATTAGGTGAAGCACAGGTTGGTCTTCCATCTTTGAGCCGCGGGTAATACCTTTCTATGGACTTGGCTTGGTAATTTTCCTATAGAATGGGTTTGAAAAACTTCCCATTGACTTGGGTAAGGTTGGTAAGGTTTCTGTGCACTGGGGGTTTGTAATGTTAAAGAGAAGTTGGGCCCCTCCCTACACCAAAGTTGCAATAACAAATACAAGTGTATTTCAAAACTCTAATTAATCTATTTTAGTTACGCATATTGGGTCGATAATTCAACATTTCTATTTATAGAACCATGTAAAAATGCATTCAACTGCATTTTAAGTGACTTAGGACTATTCTATACGCTCTTTTGTCAGATTTCATAGCTTTGATTGTCTTCAAATTCAACTGACTATTTGACCATCCAAATGTTCTCTTCTTGAACCAATAAACTCAAGTTGACCATCTCACAAAAATCCCCACCACCAAGTTGACTTCTGACAACCCAAGAGATCAGATTAATCCCACAGAGCAGATTCACAACACGCTGTGTTTATTGTTTCAATACCCAAGGGATCAGCTTAAGAGCTCTGGGCGTGTGGACAAGAGTCAACAATGAAGACAACATTAAGCACCTAGTAACACAACTCTGATGTAACAATGACAGCTCATCAAAAACACAAGAGACCGGTTAAGAGCAACTCCCCTCAGACGCGGCAAGGGCATCAGTGGCATTAGAGTGCTTGCAGTCTGCCACTTCTATTGAAAGAAAATCAATAACAAAAATTCAAAAAAAAATGTTTTAAAAAATGTTTAAGGAGGTTGGCGTCTTCCATTGGTTGCACCACCTGAACATATTCTTGTGTGTGCTGCGGGGCAGATCTTACAACAATTTGACAGCTTTAAGATGGCAAAGATGAGCTGTCAACATGGAGCATCTCAGGAAACCTTAATGGTTTCATGGTTAAGCTGGCTGCAGACCTGGTTACACTGGAACTTAAAAATACTAAAAATATCTTATCAGAATTAGTACTTAAGCATCTCATTATACTAAAATACCCTATCATAATAATGAATAAACATACAGTATAATGTATACAGTGGGGTAGGAAGGGGTGCTGTCCGCCCCGGGCAGCATGTTTTTCTCTACATGGAGGTGCAGTATTTTCGGACAACTGAAGTTTTATAGTTGAAGGAGGTGGTAAAATTATCAGGTCACCCTGGGTGGCACTAACCCTAGTTATGCCACTGAATGTATACAATAACTAATATCTATTAGCTAACTAAAGGTCACTTTCCCAAAGTAGATGACTTGGATGGGGTGGGGTGGGGGGTGGAAATTGAGGATGCCCGCCGAGGTCACCGGGGCAGAAGTGCCGGTGGAGTTTGGGGTTTTAAAATTCAAAATGCAGGGTTGCACTTTTAATCTGAAAAATTACTGGAATATATTTTTTTAAACCCGGTCTCTTAAAAATCATAATTCTGACAGGTCTGAGCTTACATTCGTAAAAGACATCTAAAAAAATCATACACCACAGGCCAAAATTGTAAGAGTAACCATATCTGTGATCAGCAACTTCAGTGGCAGAAACAATATAACCCTAAATTTGACCGTTGATCTTTTTATTGTGCTCTATTCACAGGACACGCATTTAACAATCCCCATTGAGCTTTGTTGCCAACACATCAACAGACATTGGATGCATCAATTGTTGTCAACATATAGACATTAAATGCATCTATTGTTGTCAACACATAGACAGACATTGAATGCATCTATTGTTTCCAACGCATAGACAGACATTGAATGCATCTATTATTGTCAACACATAGACAGACATTGAATGCATCTATTGTTGTCAACGCATAGACAGACATTGAATGCATCTATTGTCAACAAAAAGACAGACATTGAATGCATCTATTGTTGTCAACACATAGACAGACATTACATGCATCTATTGTTGTCAACACATTGACATACATTGAATGCATCTATTGTTGTCAACACATAGACAGACATTGAATGCATCTATTGTTGTCAACGCATAGACAGACATTGAATGCATCTATTGTCAACAAAAAGACAGACATTGAATGCATCTATTGTCAACAAAAAGACAGACATTGAATGCATCTATTGTTGTCAACACATAGACAGACATTACATGCATCTATTGTTGTCAACACATAGACAGACATTACATGCATCTATTGTTGTCAACACATTGACATACTTTGAATGCATCTATTGTTGTCAAAGGATAGACAGACATTGAATGCATCTATTGATGTCAACACATAGGCAAACATTGAAAGCATCTCTGTATAAACAAAGATAACATGCACATATTAAAAATAAAGGACAAACAAAGCTGCATCTATGGTTGCATATATAAACAAATTGACAAAGAAAGGATTCATCTATGATACATACACAAAAAAATTGACATACAAAATGTGTCTTATACACATTTACTTGTAGGCATAACAAGAGGGAGTGGGTCTGATCAGTAGGAGTGACATTCCTGTGATATATGAGTTATGTTAATTTATGACACAACTTGCACAATCAGTTGGACAGGAATTTCTCAATTTAAAAACACATTTGTGACTGCATATTTTAAGAACAAAGGGTGTCAAGTAAATCCAAAAGACTTTCACGTAATGTAGCTTAATTTACCTACACTAACAACACAAAACAAATTTCTTAAAGACATAAAAAAATATACAAAATCAAAAATACAGAAATACAAACTATATAAATTCACAACACAAGTGGGAAAAGTATGATAATCGATAAATACAATAAGTACAATCTTGTAAGGTTCTGATAAGTATATTAAATCTTGTAACTCATTAGGAAATTGAGCAAAAATCTCTTTCTCCTGGGAAAGTTGTCGGCTTATTTAACCCATTCATTACTGCTGGTTTTAAAAAACATTGATTTTTGCTGACTCAGCAATTAAACTTTTAAACCCTTTAGGAAAGTTCCAGTATTTTTCATTCTCTATCTGATTTGCTTATTAACTTCTCCATAGATTAACGAATAAAGAAATATATAGCATTGAAATTTGACGTCGACGTGACGTCCTTGGTATTTCAGAAAAGTTCTTTGCCTCTTTGTTAAGACGACAATGTGAGTCCTTGGTAATTGAAAGGGGGTGATCGTGACGTAGCGTCGACGTCATCAGTAACGAAAAGGTTAAAGGGAAGGAGTCAGAGCCCTCCAGAAAAGAAATTCTAGAAATTGCATCTTCTGAAAGCTTTCTTTAGAACGAAATAGAACAACCTTTTCCCAATCAAGGGACAGGTGGGCAATGGTGCAGCGCTTGACATTTAATCAGTGATGGGAATATCAAAACAAAAAAAAAAGGGGAGAGAGAAGTGGTGGACGCTTTTACTCTACGTTGAAACACAATTAGGTCAAAACACAGGTCATAATACTAACCTTTTAATCTAGCTCGTATTAATCCCACTCTTGACCCTGTTCGTATAACCTGAACTGAAACTGGAAGTTTAGCTACATAATCTTCTAACTTCTTTCCAAGGTGTTCTGTAAGGGAAATGACAGCATACATATAATATAAGTATGAGCTGATGATTTACCACACATGTGGGGGAAATTAATGGTAAATGTCATCATCTCTTACATGCCCAACACACTTCCCTTATTGTGCATCTCTGGCAAGGTTACCATCCAGATTTTCTGTACCAAAGCAAATTGCACAGCAGTTTCAACGAATATAAAAATTTGTTAAAAATATCAAGATCCCCCTCACCCTTTTCACTGGCATCATCTACCAGCAATATTTCCTCCAGTAGTTCAGGCGGAGACCTGTCTATGATACTATGGACTGTGCGTAGCAGGGTGCTCCAGGCTTCGTTGTGAAAGACTATAACGATACTTGTCTTAGGCAGTGACGTGATAGGGGGGTACTTCTTACGTTTGCATCTGAAATAAGTATTTAAATATTTAGGTGGCCAAAATTAGACCATGATTACTTATTGTCAACTGAAATTAAAGCTCTTAAAATGTATTTTACACATACTTGAGCCCTCAAAATGACAGTAATCATGCTGAATAAGCTGAAATTACTTCAAAGCAATGTGATGAAAAAGTTATGGATCTATATAACTGTGAAGTTGTATATCTTTTTCATTTGATGGTGCACCCCCACCCACCCCCATTCACTTACTCATCCATGCGGTAATCTGGTAAAGTCCTGTTTAGGGCCATCATGTCGCTGGCCACCAGGTTAAACTGGTTGATTTTAAATGTGTCTTTGGCCTCAGCTTCCCTCTCTGAGGGGACTTTAACGGGCTTGCCCCCATCACCTGGACCCAGTGTTTGACTCCCAGGTAATAGTCCTGTCAAGTGAAATCATCAAGAGTAAGAAACCAAAGCGACAGAATCGACAAGAGATCAATGAAATGGTATTTTGGGCAACACATCAAGAACAGAGATGAAATGTTATCAATAACATTGAAGTCATGACTGCAGTTGAACTACAAAGGTAATCTATTTCTTAAGTTAATGAAATAAAGCACAAACAGTTGAACTAAAAAGGTAATCTATTTCTTCAGTTAATGAAATAAAGCCCAAATAGTTGAACCAAGGACTCAGGATAAAAGGAGACATCGTGAAAATTAACAGTGAGTAGTTCTTAACAAAAATACGTCATGTACGCAGGTAAGAAAATAGATTGTTTATTTTAAAGTAAAAGCTCAATGTAACGGCTGCACTTTTGGAATATTGCTTTTAATGTACACTTCACAAATTACTATTATTTTTTTAATTTAAAGATTCTTAAGATATAATATAATTTGAGGCCAAGATTTTAAGAAATATTTATTAACAAGCAACAAAGATTTTATATACACCTTTTCCTGGACTTTGGTTACAAAAAAATAAGTTAGTGTTTTCAATGAAATAAAAATGTATTAATTCACCAATATTTCAATGATACCGGTTACAGCAGTTCAAATTAAAGCAAAATAAATCTACAGTTTGAAAATTGCATGAGACATAAAAATGTTTAAGTAAAAATGAATAGGAAAAGCAGCCGAACTTAAAAGTGCATTTCATCAAGAGAGTTGAGTCAGTTTACTCATGCACTCTGAGCTAAGCTTATTTCCCTACAGCAGTCCTGCACAAATCAAAATATAAGGCGGACCGTAATACTTTATGAAAAACTTGTGCGGGCCAAAAGAACATAGGACAGGGAGGAAAGCTATTAAGAAAATATTTTAAAAAAAAAATACTTCAAAATTTTTTTTCTTTACTAAGCGGGCCGCAAAGTGGGTGCTCCCGCGGGCCGTTATATTGTGCAGGCCTGTCCTGCAGGTAAAACAAATGTAAAGGAAATAGCTATTTTAAACTGCACACTTTCTATTGATTTCAACACACCCCTTTGCATAGAGGTAGGGCCTATTGGTAGATCAATACTGTTAAACTAGACATGGGCTTCACGTAATTAATCTCAACTGTATTCAAATATTTATATCATTCAATATTTTTTTGTGCCTGTCTTTAAGTTTTGTGTCTCTGTTTGTGGGAATCTATTCAGTTGCTGGTATTAAGTATTCCTATTAAACAGATGGATGAATAGTATTAACAGCTGCTAAAAAATAAAAATGTTTGGTAATTTTTAAAAAGTTATGAATTCAGCTTGAGCTAATAATGTGAAAACAAGCAATAGCAAGCATTTCCAAGCTCTTCAATGTCTCCAGTCATACTCAATGTAGACTACAGCATTTCGCTTATCCAACCAAAATGTAAAAAAGCAACATTAGAAACAAATAATGAAACGCCTTTAGGGAAAAAGAAATGTGGATCCTTCTTTCAGATCATTTGCTTCCTATAATGTGTTTCATTGTGGGCTTCACTGATAGTAAATTGAGTAAAACATTTAAAGAATTAGAAGTTTAGAGACCTTTGGGTCTCAGTTTGATGAACTTATAGATTTAAGAACTTTGGATCTCAGTTTAATGAGTATACCCTTTAGCCTTGCAACCAGAAGCTTCATACAAAGAATATACTTAAAATATATGAAAAGATATTGAAAATCAACATGATTAAGTGCTGGATTCTGTAGAATAAAAACACTATTACTTATATCAACATTCACAGAAGCCCATGCCCCAGGAGATAGATGAATGCCATCCACACACATATAGTTGACACAGACCAACAAAACATGCCAGAGAAAACCAAACAGAAAAGCAATGATGGTAAAATGTCAGATGGAAAAGTTGCTGTTCCAGTTGTTAAACAAGAAACAAAGTACTTTTATGTTCAACAGGAGGCCTCTTGGAGTTTTTTGACGATGGCCGGCCACGATCTTTGGGCTTTGCTTTCTGTGCACTTGGGATGAGGGTTCTAGGAGAAGTTTTTTGTTCAATGAAATCCGATCCTGTCCAGTCACTTAACTTCTCTGCTGAGACAGAAAATCAGTTGCACGCTAGGTCAGACAATGAAGAAGCATGTCTTTTATATCTTTATGCATGGAGAGTAACCATTGAAGATGGTGGATGTCATTTTAATACAATTTAAGGATGCACCCACTCAATAAATTCTCTTATTTGATTAGCACTGACACATCCACAGAGTAGCACTCAATCCCTCAAAGCAACTAAAGATTATCACCCTGTCCCTCAAGTATCCCTGCAATATATTCCCAGAACCCTCAATTTTTCTGAATCCACCTGCCACTTGGAGCACACTTCTAATTAAGCCTGTGAGTATAATCCAATGCAGAACAATACATTTCATAGAGCCCCAAGCTTCACATGATGATACTAAGGGTTCTCAGTTAGTTGTCCCATGCCTCCAGGCTAATGTTGGATCTGGTTACTAAATACTTGGGCACATGCCTCAACACCATGTTATCACCAGAGCAGCCATTTGGGTTTGTCAATTTGGTTACAGAAGCTTGTAAATTTGGTTGTACAGTCAACTATCGGATATGTCATATTTAAGAGGGTGGGAATGTCGTAAGTTATGAAAAGTCCATCTTAAACAAGGAATGAAAACTGATGCTAGATGTCCACCAGGCCCTTGATTACCAATTAGTAGCATGGGAAGGGTAACACATTTTTTTAAATACCTGCTAGCATGCGGCTGGCCTGTATTTAATAAGTAAGGAGACTCATGCAGGGTGACATTTCATGCTATAGGTACGTTCAATGTCAAAAGACTCAAGATTTATGGTTTAATTAAGTTTAAAAAAAAAAAAGCTTATTGAATTTTTGAAACATTTAAAATATGTTATTTTCAAGCCCGAAGTATGGATAGTTGATGATAGTAGATTGTAAACTTGGTTATAGTAGCTAGTGAAATTCAGTTATACTACATACATATCAACCTGCACCCTACTTTGTACAATTTTTATAATTGTTCAAGTTGTATGGCTGAATAGACATTTGAACAGTTTTTCCACTGGATTTAGAAAAGTTCACAAGTGGTGATGCAATAAATTCAACTTGGAAAACAAGAAGCTTAAATCTTATTTGTGCAGTCAAAATGACCAAGTTGAGCATCAGTAGGCCATCTAACTTTAAAAACAGCGCAGTTTCACTGATATCATTGTTTATACAAAGACAGCATAGTAGGTTAGTAACTACTGTGTCAAATGAGAAAAAAACTTTATTTTACTTTCTTAATTTAAATACAGGAATCTGTATTACTAAGCCAACATAATTAATCAGAGATGCGTGTCTAATTACATCTATTTCTTATCAAATTTTTTATCTGTCCATTTTAAATAAAATTTCTATTCACCAGTATACAAAAAATTCAAAATTTGACAAAAATTGGAATAAAGCATGCATGTATGTTATAGTAGCTTGTAAACTTGGTTATGACAGCATGTTAACATTATACTAGCTTGTAAATTTGAGTATAACAGCTTGGAAATTTTATAAAACAACATAAATTGACCAACACAGTGAACAGATAATTGTATCCCACTTAGGAGACATTTAAATCAATATAATTTACTAAAAAAAATTGTTTATTCAGAAACTCTTAATGTTTAGCCCCAGTGAGGGCTTGAGTCCTGAAGGAACATATGAGAAATGCCCCTCCTGTCCTTTTTTAACACTGCACTGTATTTGCTCATAAATACATACATATTCAATTCAAGGAAAGTGGGGGGGGGGGGGGTGTGTGTGGGGGGGTTTCTCGGGGGGGTTCCCTTACTTTTTTCCCTTGTGTTTACCCTGGGCCCCAATATCATACACCCATGTTTATTTTTTGTTCAATTCATGAGGAAGATATGTTAAACATGTCACTCTATACTTGAGTTACTACACTAAGAATATGTATTTCTAGTGTCCCTCAGAATTTAATAGAAATGTATTTATAGGCCTTTGATGATTTCATCCCATGTTTGTGAATTATGGTGGTTTATCGTTGGCTATTTTCACTTTGCCCATCTCATTCCTCCCGTTTGTTTAGTATCAAAGAACACTGGTGACTCTTCTAAACAAGACAAAATGCCAGGTGTGACTGCTCTGTGTTTTACACAGGACCTGCAAGATATTTATAGCAAGAAAATTTCATCAGTGATTGTCCTATTGATTCCTTATAAGCTGATTGTGTGTATTAGTTCCCTCTAGTCAAGTGCTTCTCAAACTTTTCAGTATGGTGGATACCCCCTCAACCCCATATTTGTCTAACGTTTTGATTGTTATTAAAAAAACGTATATTTTTCCTCTTGAATGCTTACAATCAGTATCAAATGTCCTATTACTAGTTAGAGTAGGTCTGGGTCGTGGGGATGCACTTTAGGTAAAGAATTTCTTATGACAGCCTGCAAACCTTAAGTTTAACTCAGAAGTGTACCAGCAAGGCCATCTGTCCAGTGATTATTTCCGAAATTTTCCCCTGGGTGGGGGCACTTCAGATTTTCGGGGGTGGGGTGGGGGTGCCAGTTGATTTATTGTTGGACATAATTTTTGTTGGGGGGTGGGGATGGGTGGGGGGCACAATTGGCTCCCCCCCCCCCCAGATATAGCTGAAAGAAACCCTTCACCTGTCCCCTCGAAATAAAAGCTAGTGCTTGAGAATAACAACTTGGTCTCTCTGACTCTCTATGCCAGTTGATTTATTGTTGGACATAATTTTTGTTGGGGGGTGGGGATGGGTGGGGGGCACAATTGGCTCCCCCCCCCCCCGATATAGCTGAAAGAAACCCTTCACCTGTCCCCTCGAAATAAAAGCTAGTGCTTGAGAATAACAACTTGGTCTCTCTGACTCTCTCTGACTCTCTCTGACTCTCTCTGCCATAAATCATTTTTGAGACAGCCAAGATTTCAAACCAGTACATTATGACGAGTGGCCTCAGTGTTGGGTAGCCCCATGGGAGAGCATTCGATATTACACCAGCGGTGATACACTGCCCACACAAACCTCAATCGTCTGGAAAGAAATGACTAGAAATAATCTGAGATAATCATTATTGCAAACAGTCGACAGCAAGTTCCAGTGGAACACATCTAAAATTCATGGTCACACACGTTAACATATTTCCAGCTTTGATATCAACTTGTGTGAGTAGAAGTTTAAGATTTGTATGCATTCATCTACTGGGGGGGGGGGGGGTGTCCACCAAACTACGGCCTGCGGGCCCGATCCGGCCCACCGACGGTACTTGAATTTGCTTGATAAAACGTATGGAACACGAGATGTTGTGATACAATTTAAATTTCAATATTATGTTTAGAATACCAGGAGATCTTCACAAGTGCGTGGACCTTCTGGCTTCTTTGCGCCTTAATTTACCATTTTCAAGTTTAAATGAGTATATCTAGATTTTCTGTTTATTACAGACCTGATAACCCTCGAACGCCTACAATCGTACAATATCGTCTTAATATCGTACAATACAGTGTCTTAATAGTAAAGAAATAAACATACAGTATGTAAACTGAATACAATAACTACTCGCATGGCAGTGCCTAGTGGGATCGAGTTAAGCTTCCGACAAAAAAGTTAACCTCTAAAAGTACAAAACCGACGTTTACATTGCAGTCTGCGGTCGCTTTGTTTTGCAGACGTCTATTTGCTATTGATATTAATTTATACCGAGTGCATGTACAGATCACATTATCACAGTCTATCGCTGGTAAAAAATAAAGTTGCAGGTGAAATGTAACGTGGTTCAAACTCGAACTCAGATCAGCATAAAGCAAGATCTATTTAAATAAGAATTACTTAAAAAATGATGACATCATTAAAAAAACCTACCCAAGTAACTTGAGAAAGTTGTTTTTAGGGAAAGCTGGTTAAAAAAAATGTCCAAAATAAGAATCACTTTCCTTTAAGTCTATGCCCTCTAATATTACAAATTTTTTTTATAACTGTAAAAAACAACTGTAAACTACCACAAACTGTAAATAGGTGAAAGAATGAGAAATGTTGGAAACGTATGGTACATTAAAAATCGTAGTCGCTGCGGTTGGACCTAACAGCCTTTTGGCAAGTTCGGTTGTGCAGAGAACAGAGGAACTTGGAGAGAGCACAGTGCTACTGATAAGCGAGAAAGCTAGGAACTTGATGTGGTATTCTCTGGTGCTTGATGAGTCTACTGACCTCTCGAATACATCACAACTTCTCGTGCTTATTTGTGGTGTCAATTTGGAATTTTAGATAACGGAAGGGTTGTTTTCCGTCATCCATAGAACAACAACTGGAAAATACATTAACTGATGAACTTTTGAAAACAATTCTTTTGATGGGATGCAGCAATTCCAAACCAAACATTGATGATATCTTGAAAGCCAAACGTCAGTTTCACAAATCTCATCAACGAGTTTAGTTTGTGAGATTCGAATGTGTGCACACTAGGCCTGATGTTGCAACTATCTTTTTGCTAACGTCGCGTTTTTGTTAACTTTTATAGTAATAAATTTTTATGTCTGTTGTCTTTGTTTTTTTGCATTGCACGCCACTCACCCATGGTTGGTTAATAAGGAATACTAACTTAGTTTTTCGTCTTTTTTCCCAGAGCTTCCCCTCTGGCTTGCAAGTATTGTACAGAATGATTATCCGGCCCGAGCTCGTCATTTTTTCCCCCCGTTATTCGGCCTGCCGTGAAAAAAATTTGGTAACGCCCTGATCTACTGGTACTAAATGGGACAAGTTGCATGCACATAACAGTTCATGCTCTGTTTAAGATAAAGATCTATCGCCAGCTGATGACGTGGTCCCGTAACTGCCAACGGATTCTTCCACTCTGTGTATTGTACTATGGGTCTTAAAGTCCGTACGCTTTGCTGACTATGGCTTGACCATCTTTGGAGTTAGCGAACAAGCAAAAATTACAAACCAACAAATGAATGCTGGTTTCGGGAGATTGGAGTACTGTCAGTATCGAAACTCAAATGTGTATTTGAGTACTGTCAGTATCGAACTGCAAATGTGTATTTGAGTACTGTCAGTATCGAAACCCAAACTGCAAAGTGGCCCAAATGTGTGTTTGACCACCGAGTGACACACACGACCTTGCCGCACACATAACTGTGACACACATAAGACTGTCATACAGAAATGATCGTCTCTCATGCAAGACGGTCACAACAATCATTACACTATTGTTCTTTTTTTAATGTCCAGATTTTAAACCCGGGTGAAAGATCAACTACAATTACAAAAAGATACACTATTTGCACAAAAGTGATTTATGACTGTACCTTCATAAATACATGACAGCCCTTAGTCTAACAAAAAAATAAGAGAAGAAATAATAGCTTGTTCTTCTCAGGTGATCTTCTACTGGATGCAGGGATGAGCACGGGACCCACACAATTCGTCGTCATATACATTCGGATGTTGACCTGGACTACCAATGTGGTTAACCACCGCCCTCAAATTGACACAGTTAACAACAAGCAGGCACGTCATCGGGCTCGACGCGGGTCCCCCACAGGTCTCCCCCCCCCTCCCCCCCCCCCCCCCCGTACACCTGACACATTGTCTTTTCCTCGCCACGAGGTGTCCCATGTGACCTATGCTGCACGTCTATGCGACAGATATTGATGTGGTGCACTTTGTCCGTGCATGTTCAGTACACCAGTTGTGTGCACGCCGTACATAAGACCAGCAGGATCCCAGGGGCACACATCTCACTTACAGACAGACGATTATCCATCTTGGCCCGTGAGAGCTTGAGGGAATTACTGACACCCCCCCCTCCCCGCAATCTGATCACTTATTCACCAACCACCATCTTTATCATCATCCCGAGCAGACGACTTTTGGGCATAAATGACTTAAGTGGATGCTTGGGGGTCAGGGGTGAGGGGGGTGCGGCACTTAAGAGGTCCCGAGCTTGAGAAAAAAGCAGAGGTTTATCAGGTCTTACGTTCGACCCCACCTCCTCCCCCAACCTTAACGTGATTTGACAGCGTAGAAAGGGACACCTTTTTGAGGACCGGTACAGCCTTCATTTTTATTTTACCGTGTAGAAATTCAGCTTTCTTAAACGGAGAACTTTACTTTTAGTGGACCATTGTTTGTGGTTTCCTGTCAGGAGTTTACGAACGATCCTTGATGTACGAAGAACCCCACCCCCCTCCCCTTTAGTACTGTCATGTTTACAATATATTTCCGCTAGCTAGCCACCAACAGTGACGAGACGAAAGTTCTTCGTTTGACTCCCACTCATTTCAACCACTGAGTCGTGCCACGCAGTTACAGCCTCAATGCCGGCACAACGGCACGGGTGACAGTTTGGCACAATGGTGTTACTTGGATGTATAGCATGCGTCCACAGACGACTAACATTGATCTACCACCGCTGGTCAACGGATTAATTGTCCCACCCCCCACCCATTACACCAATTACCCCTGTAGTGTGGTACATTTCAACAGTCGTCTCAATGTGCCATTTCCCCATTACACACATCAACCGGGGGGTGGGGTGGGGGGGGTGGGGTGTGTGTACATCCACCCTCTAAATTAGTATTTAGGTCCCAATGCCCCAACTTTTGTATTCGCCTACCAAGTTGTAGTAATTACCCATTGAAATACTTAAGTGTACCAAAATCTTTTATGACGACGCCCACCAATGGCGTGGACAAACATTTCTAAAAATATGTTTGGGAAACCCCGTTGAACAATCGATACAATTTTTTTTTTTTTTTTTGCTTTACAAACATATCATTGTGTCGGACCGATGGGAATTTTGAAATAGAAGAATGGGCTGATTCCCGAGCTATTGTTTAGTATCTACTTGTCACGTTGCCAAGATCATGATCCAAAACCTCGTCCTATAGAGAAATGACATCCAATTTGACTACAGAGCGTGAACAAAACGTGTATCAAAATGTGATACGAAAACACAGATTGGCAAATATGACATTGGAACACAGGCTACTTTGACGCATGTCGCTTAAAATAAGATCATTATTATTAAATAAAATAAGATCATTATTATTCATTAAAATAAGATCATTATTAAATAAAATAAGATCATTATTATTCATTAAAATAAGATCATTATTATTAAATAAAATAAGATCATTATTATTCATTAAAATAAGATCATTATTATTCATTAAAATAAGATCAATATTATTCATTAAAATAATATCATTATTATTCATTAAAATAATATTATTATGATTCATTGAAATAAGATCATTATGTCTATTTTTGGTAAGCGAAAGAGATTAACAACACACACAGGCCCGCTATTATAGCATTACAGTAAAAAAAGAGTAAGATATGTATCACGTGTCCCAACACAGTACACCTCCACGTGTCCCAACACAGTATACCTCCACGTGTCCCAACACAGTATACCTCCACGTGTCCCAACACAGTATACGTCCACGTGTCCCAACACAGCACACCTCCACGTGTCAGTTCCCAAGCTGAATCCAATCAATAGCAACACGTAACTTAGCAATTAAAGCATTCAATATTATACTCTGCGCGTTTGACTCTGCTAGATGGGGAACGTCTTATCTCTGCATGTTTGTTTCTGCTAGATGGGGGACATCTCTGCGTGTTTAGCTCTGGTAGATGGGGAACGCCTTATCTGCCTCCGCAATAGGGCTTGTCATTTAATGGCGGAAATCTATTAATAGAACTGATGTCACCATTACTCATCATCCGGGTACTCAGCGCGGACAAAATGTCAACACTGTTCAGTATTACTATGTTAGCGGAGTGTCCCTGAAACTTGTTTACAACTCTATTTTACGAAATATTTTACACATTTTTTTTTTACTTCTGTTTTCTCAAATGCGACTTCATTGCGTGAACGTCATATGTAACAGTAACTCTAGATACAAGGATCGCCCGAACGATATGCTGAAACACACTATAAGCTGCCATGTTTTAAGCAATGCCAATGGTCGTACAAGATATGTTAAAGCTCGAAATGAAAAGACATGACAAGCAAGATAAAATGTCAGGTGTATCAACATGCCTTTATTTAATTTTAGTTTATCATTTGAGAATTATGTGTATGAAGGATAAATAAATAATATGCGCATGTTTTGTGTGTGTGTGTGTGTAATTTTAATTATTATGTGTAATGACATGCAGCCTGCGAAAAGTTGTTTCGTCATCAAAATGGCCGGCGAGGAATTGTTTCGTCATCAAAATGGCCGGCGAGGAATTGTTTCGTCATCAAAATGGCCCGCAAAGGCATCTGGGTTGGCCAACTCTACCTTGAGGCATTGGGACGATTTTAAAAAAAAAAACAACAAAAAAACACCTCCATATATTCCCGTCCAAGTGATTTGAGAATCACGTTGTTCTAACGAAGAGCCAAAAAGTGGGTTTACCTTTCTAACATGCGCTTTGCTGACCAACCACGGGTTGAAGATTGGGGGGGGGGGACGGGACGGACGGACGGACACCAACACGTTAGAACTGGCCCCTTATGTACAATTACATGTCATGCCTGCTGTTAAGATTTTTTAGCTACAGAGTAACAAATTGGTCTACTAAATTACCTTTGTCGACCAGTGGTAGTGAGAGCCAGTAGAACTATTAAATAAGCATATTGGTTCTAGGCGGTGTTATGACTGCTTTGATGTTTAAGACACAATGAGCTTGATACGTCTAACAATATGTGGATCTTGATATGTCTAACGCTAACATAAGAGGATTCTCATATATCTAACAATATGAGGATCTTGATATGTCTAGCTCTAACATACGAGGATTCTCATATATCTAACAATATGAGGATCTTGATATGTCTAAATCTAAAATATGAGGATTCTCATAAATCTTATCTAACAATATGAGGATCTTGATATGTCTAAATCTAAAATATGAGGATTCTCATAAATCTTATCTAACAATATGAGGATCTTGATATGTCTAGCTCTAACATACAAGGATTCTCATATATTTAACAATATGAGGATCTTGATATGTCTAGCTCTAACATACGAGGATTCTCATAAATCTTATCTAACAATATGAGGATCTGGAACATCGGAGGATCGTTATCTTAATCAGTGTAACCAATCTCTGATCTTGACAATGGCACGTCTGACGTACGCCAGATTCTCCCAGGGCGGCAGTATTAATATCCTGTAAAAGGTCAATTTCTAAATGCCAGCTCGCCAATTTCCACAACACCAAAACGCATGTTTCAAAGTCAAGTTAACCGACGGCTTTGTTATCAAATGTTCATGTACCCTGTCAGCAGAGTGGCAGAAACCAGAACCCCCGAGTTTATGGCTTACCAAGACAATCACTGGCTTACCAAGACAATCACTGGCTTACCAAGACAATCACTGGCTTACCAAGACAATCACTGGCTTATCAAGACAACTGCTGGCTTACCAAGACAATCACTGGCTTACCAAGACAATCGCTGGCTTACCAAGACAATCGCTGGCTTACCAAGACAATCACGATTCACAAACAACGACTTAAACAAAAAATCCCTTTCCTTCGGCACCAAACAACCAATCAATAGAGAATCAATTTTTAAATATTTTTTTTGTAATGAAGAAAATAAACAACACACACCAATTTAAGTGGTTTCTTCACACGGACAGTCATCCCATCAATGACGTTACGGTCAGTCACCCCATCAGTGACGTTACGGGGAGTCAACCATCAACGACGTTACGGGCAGTCACCCCATCAATGACGTTACGGGCAGTCATCCCATCAATGACGTTACGGGCAGTCATTCATCAACGACGTTACGGGCAGTCAGCCGATCAATGACGTTACGGGCAGTCAACCCATCAACGACGTTACGGGCAGTCACCCGATCAATGACGTTACGGGCAGATCCCATCAACGACGTTAGCTATCAGATTTCACATGTCCAAAAGGGGAACGATCTTTACTATTATTTTTTTTTCAATAGAGGCGGCTATTTCACGATACAACAGAGCAGGCAGGACACCACGCCATCAGTAGTAGCAAAAGTCAGGGCTAGTTCAGGAGAAAAGGGAGAGGGTTTGGGGATTTGTGGACGAATTAACTTTAATAAACAAGACAAGCGTCATCAGATGTATAGTTTGTGGGACATCTTCAACGTCTGTTCAACTAGCGGCTGCAAAATCGACAGACAAACAGATAACCTAACATCGGGAGAGCATTTTGTTTGGAGAGCAAACACAAAAGCCGCCAGTGACCCAAACTTGCTTGAAGTCCGCCAGACTCTGGATACCAATAAACCAAAAAAATAATCCACAAAAAGCTAAGAACTTTTTTTTAATTTTTTTTTTTTTAAAAGAAAATATTTTCCTATGAAAGACTTGGAATAATTTAGTTGTTTCTGGAGTAAACCCGGAAACTTGTTTGTAACAGTGACATGTAGTGACACATATCTTGTTGATTTATATCTTGTTTCTTTGACATCTAGAATTATTACAATTTCTTTTATTATACGTTAGTAGTATCCTTAATTTATTGCTTAATGCTGAGGCCAATATATAAAGTGTGCGTGTGTTTTTTTCTCCTAACTTCGTGTTTGTTTTAATCTAACCTAGAAAAGATAGATGATTCATATTGCTTATTGGATTTACAACTGATGAGGAAAACAACACGACCCCTGGGACTGCAAGCCAGATGAGTAACGCAACCAACAAGACACACAACAATCATCAATGACAGCGCTGACTACTTCTACTGTCGGGCGTCCATAGGACACGCATCCAATAGTCAACGGTATTGTGAAGTGGATCCATTAACCTTCCGAGATGACACCAGGAAGGAGGCCTGACACAACCGGGCTCTTATTTATGTGGTGTGAGATGAGTGAGTGATGCATTCTTGGAACACAAAGAAGAAACAATTTTTTTTTTAAAGACTGTTTTATTTTGGTAGGCTCAACATTAAAATACTTTATTTACAATCCATATATATATCTATATGTACATGGGAGAGGGGTGAATAAATAGTCTTATTCTGAAAAATCTCCATCAAATATTATATGAGTGTCCCAGCAAGGATGCACGGCTGAGCGAGGGGATGAGGGAATGGGTGTTTTGACCAGGCTTCAGGCATCCAATGTTATAAGTTAAAATTGAAAACTATTTGAAAAAACAATAGTGCAATATAAAAAAACTCAATGGAACTCCATCCCGTGTTTATAGTATGGTATGGAAAATATCCTATGATCCAAACACAAAATGACGAAATTCCTCACACATCATATCAGCCTTATAAACTAAGGACTTGCTGGGATAACTTCAGAAAGATGTGTACATTGTCATGTTATTGTCATAATGAATGTGCGAGACCAAATACGTGGCCATTTCACATTAGTATTAGAATACCTGTTTCGCAGAGGCATTATAAAGGCTTATATTTCAGATAAGGTTAATCAGTTTCCGCCGAAGTATAAATTGTTAACAGCTGCGAACTGAGACAGACGCTAGGAGTCCAGACAGCAGCTAGGAGCCCAGACAGCAGTAGATTCAACAAGAGAAAGTGGCCATAAACTCAACACAGAGGGGCTAACAATTAATGCAAACATTTTTACCTGGATAGTTACCTGAAACAAGGTTAGAAAAACTAGCTACTGAACAAAGTGACTTATCAAGAAATATAAGCCTTTATAATGCCTCTGCGAAACAGGTATTCTAATACTAATGTGAAATGGCCACGATTTACCTGGATAGTTACCTGAAACAAGGTTAGAAAAACTAGCTACTGAACAAAGTGACTTATCAAGATTAAGAACTGGTTTAGGAAGGAGACACCCCCCCCCCCCTCTGATGGCAAGCGTTTTTGTGTGCGAGTCAGGATTACGGAAGTTAAGACATAAAAACCTCTTGTAACACTGGCTCATTTGAACATTTCCTCTGGCATGTATATGGTTTATAGGCTTGGAATTTGGTTAAAATCTGCCGCTCATTAAAAATAACATACCTTACCCTCCTGATCAATACTACCTACCCAATCGCAGATAAATATATAAGGTAGAAAGAAAAGTTAAGCAAATCACCTCAACACACACCAAGAAATAAAGTACGCATCATCAGATCCCAAACAGGGTGACTTAGGTAACCCAAGTGTATGGAAGAGATTGAACATTTTTTTCTACTACAGATTTTGTAAGACGTTTATGCAGAACTAGAGATTTGTATTATCTCACTATAATAATGAGTGTGAGTGAGGTGCCATGTCTTGATATGGTGGACCTTACATTATGCTCAGCATTACAATATTTCAAAGGCGGTGTAAGATACATCCCGCACCTAAGATATGATAACTTCACAAAGCTCCAACAGATGATTCCAATGCACCCAAAGGAACACTTGAAAACCTGCCAAGAATGAGCTCCACATTTCCCATGGACATGACCTGCTAGCATGCAAGTTAGTGTCACATCCAACTAAAAATGCTGCATAGAGAATTTTGTATCCAACAAAATGTTTTAAACAGAGCCCCGTTCATTTCAATTAACAGACACTTTCTGGAAGCTGTCAGGGTAAAGAAAGTTTCTTTTTATCTAACACAACATAAAATTTTATTGAAAAAAATCATAAGATTGAAATCCAATGAAAAATGACATTAACAAATGCATTTGGGAACTACAGCAGAAATTTAGATTTAGCATAACTAATTTTCAAGTTATTTTAAGTATTTAAGTTACTCTGTTATTGTATTAACAAATTATACTATTTTCCTTTGATTTCAATTATAATATCCAATCTTATTATGTTGATAAAAAAAAAATATTAAGTTCTTTTCAAAATGGTTATCAAAGAAAAAAAAGGTATTGGGAAATCGGTACAGTTTTGAATACAATCTTTGTTGTAAAAAATGATGCCAATTTTTTTTATAATTGTTACTGTTGATTAGTATTCTCTATAATTATGTAATCCCCCCTTTCTGATTCACTCAAGTTAGTCTAACAAACTTAACATCACTTCATTTTCTCAGCAAAATAAAAAGGTGGCCACAGAAAGCAGAATGGTGAATTATAGCAAAGCTAATGCCATACAAAGTGCAACAAAACACCACTACTCAATAGAAGCTTGGTCTCTTTATAATGATATCAGTTTGCTTCTTGCTGTCAACTACATTGTGGGCTCTATTAAACAATATTTATTTTTAACATAAAGTTTAGTGTGGCGCAAGAAAAAAATAGTAAACAACAAAAATAAAAAATATCTTAGTTTTATTTCAGCTTGAGGAAAATAAATGTCAGAGCAATTTATGTCAATGAAAGCACCAGTTGGTGAACAACAAAAGAAGACTTAAAAAAATACCTACCTTTTGGGAATATTTTGTGTAGGAAGCCTTCTCTTGGCTTCTCTGAGATATGTTTGAGCTCGTCTTGCGGATTACAGCGCGGTCCGTTTGTACAGTCGGTAAAATACATGAGTAGAAAGACATCCAGCATGATCCATACCATGGAGGTGGCTATGATCACCTGAAATAAAAACAACATAAGAATAAGAACTAAAAAGCTCAGTTTTTAAATCTTCAGAGAATATCTTTTAATAGATATAGATTTGAAACAGCAATTTGCCACCCTAACGAACACAGCTAAACACAAGACAAATTGAATTTCATACATGAGCAATGAAAAACAAGAAAACACCTAAATATGGTACAATAAGACTTCACTGCCATTCTCAGATTTCAATTCATTCAATACTCTAATGCAGACATGTATGCTTCATTCATAGTCTTGACACTCACCATCCCCAACCCTCTTTCTAAGACCTCTACTTAGGTAGGGGTTAATAATCACTTTTAAGATCAGGATTTTAAAATAAATACCAGTAGTACATGGAAATAACAAATTCAAGCACCCTCTATCGATAAAGGCTTAAAATATAAGTTAATGGTGGTAATAGTTTCTAAAGATATAGACTTATATATAAATAATTATTTTAAAATATATAAGGGAAAAAAAAAAAAAGAACATAATCTTTTCGGAACATGGTTTTAAATAAAACACAAAAAGTTTAAAAAAGTTTCTTTTTTTTCCCTAGGTACTTCCTCCATGAAAACAGATTACATTTTGACAATGAAGACTGTTAATGACAACAAAGGTTACTAGGAAATGAATATTTTAACACACAATTTCAGTTTAGCTAGATGATTAGAAGAAGGTAACTTGAGTTGAATTATGCATGAAAGAAAGATTACAGTCAAGGGAAGATGTATGAGTCTGACCTCTTATTAGTTTTTCATTTATAGTAATAACATACAGCAATGAAATTATATAACTAAGTTAATTACGCATTCACACACATGTATATGACTAATATATAAGACTTGCATCAAAATTATTTTCTCCTAAAAAGAATAAATTAATATGGTAAAAGAATAGTTGAATTCATGCAATACACTTGCTATGTGTACCACTTGTGAATAATAGATATTACTAAGCAAAAAAACCCATAGAATGGTTAGGGCAATTAGCTAAAACTATTATATTATTGATTACTATTTATTATGCATAACTCTCATAAACCATAAATGTTGAGGGGCAAATGTTGAGTTTGTTCAGCATAATTTTGCTAACAAATATTAAGAATTTTATGCAGGTCAACATTTAAAAAAATGTATTTATATCACATGAGTTTTGGTAATCTGTTTATGCGTTTAATATAAAGCACACTAAGCCAGAAGTAGGGATGTTAATACCATTTTTTCTGCAAACTGGTGATGGGTTTTAAAAATGTTTTTTTTGCTTTTTGCAATTAAGGGCTCTAACTTAGCCGGAATGCATGGTAACAGGGTTCTGTAAGCAGCCAGTTACATTGCGATACAACAATGTACAGAATGGGAGGGTGGCTCGCCCAGAAGGGTATTTTTTAGGACAAAACTTTTGATCCACTTCATACACTTCAAATTTCTTATTTTGTACATTTATTCTTGTTACATTGTAGTTTTGTTAGTGAGGGGATGCAAAATTATGGGAGACTGTGATCTGCAGACACGTTGAGATCTATAGCAGAATAAAAACTTGCAAAAACAAGGTGTTGACTTTCTCAGAAAAAAATAATCCAGTCACAATCGATTTTTTTTTTTTATTTTTTTTTTTTTTACAACTATACAGTGATGGGTATGAACAGATACACAAAGCATGAACAAGTAGCCTATGATTTAAGGCAGTATACATCAATTGTATTATTATAAAAATTATTTTACTTATTAAATAATAAATAAAATACATTTACTTTTGGTTTATTATTTTATTTATATTTTTAAAATGTGTATTTTTCCCCTCTTCTTTTTTATATCATGGTAAAAACAATCAATAACTGGCTTGTGGTTTTTTATCATTGAAAAATCTTTAAGCAAGTACAAGAAGTATTTCAATAAGAAAAGAAAACAATATTGGTCTCTCTGAAATATATGTTTACTACATGTTTTTAATATTTATGAAATAACATATTTGATCAAATAATGCCACAATTTAAGAGGTTGGTGAACCCTTCCCGGGGCTCCCGGTTGACAAGTCTGTGGTGGCTTGTCAATTAGGAGGCGTCGGCCAGCGACCCCCTCTATGTTACCCGGGGAACACAACCACTGGGCGCATCCTGCGTGGGCAGACAAGGGGCGTGCTTGGTATCTGCCGTAAATAAAACAGCACCTACAGGGCTGCCAGTTGTGAAGCTTCACAATTGGAAGAAAAGGCAGAGACAGGGTAGGGATCATGATTACAAGTTGCCGTTAATGAATATGAGACGAGAGGCGAAGGTGGTAACCTCTGGCCGATGATTCCTACTATGCAGCCCTGAGAAGCTGCTCCAAGGCAATTTTCTTATTAGCTACTTGGCAAATTAGTTGCCTTGTGGAAACCCATTGTAGAATCCCTCTTATAGGTCGTCCAATGTTTCCCCGGGATGGGTGGGGGAAGATTTTAGGACATAAATTTTACCCTCCCGACTCCTTAGAAAGTCGATCGTGTGCAATGTGTCGGGTGTCTTTGAGTTGGGGCGGCCTCCAGCGGAAACCGGTCAAGCGGACTCGGGTGGGGGCTGTCCTGACAAAGAGACATCCCCGACATGCCACTCTGCGGCCCCATACTGGGTTGGGGAGGGCAAAAAGAGCGCAAGCTTGACGGCCTGCTGGCGCCATTTCTTAATGTAATATATGAGGTGAAGAAAACATTTCATAATTTGTTTATATCAACTTTTATTTTAATTCAGGGAGTTGCTTATTTTAATTTACTGGCCAATGTTTTAACCATCAATTATATGATAATAGCAAGGTTAAAAATATAAATATAATAAAGAAGGTGATTCATATACCAGTACTCATAAATCAATCATTTATTAGAAAGAACTGAAAATCTGTACCCCAATGTGATAATTAATTAGTTTCAATATCTAGTTCTAAAGTGACTGCGGTGCTGGAATATGGAGATAAGGAGAAAATGATGAGGAAAATGATAGTCCTAACGGAGGGGAAAAATGTGGTAAAAGGGGCTACAACTGGATCTCCTAGTTTATGCATACAATTTTTAAACAATGAAATTAGGAATAAGGAAAGATATGTGATCGGCAATTGGGAAATCTCTGCTCACTTGTATATGGATGTTATTTAAAAAAATGAGAAAAGAGAAATAGAATCCCACTAAGAATTTTTCATTGGTAATTTATTTTTAAGTCAGATGTCTGAGACAGTACCATTATGAACTCACCTTACAGTATTGAAAACGTAACCTTCCCATCTTCATTTCTGGAATATCAATAAGTTACACATGAACTATAAGAAAAACCTGAGGAAATAAAGATTGAAATTAAATTATAACAAGATTATTAAGGACATAAGAACACATTGGATTGGACTTGAACGTCTCCTTATATTACCTACATGGAATAAAGAATTATAAGTACCTATGACTCCATATATATGATTTTATGTTGAAGGTAATGTTGAAGAAGAATCATAAGGACATTATTGAATTTAATTTTGCCTGAATTAAAAACACAGCTTGCTTCAGTTTAACCCCTGTGCAAATTTATTTTTTTAAATTAAAAAAATAAGATTAATTCGACACCCCAAATCTCACTGTCAGCAAATTGTATCAAAATGACCAAGTGAGGCAAGTCATCGGTCACAGTATTTTAAATTGCTGAATGTTCCCTTTGTTCATCTAAGTAAGCAACAATGATGAAGAAAATATCAATAAGTATCAACAGATTTGCTTATTAATTACATATCAATGAATTACTATCTGAGCTAACCATACAAATTTGGGGTAGGAATGGTTAATTATTAGATGAATAATTTTTGATGGCGAAAATATGACGCAAGCAGATAGATCAAAGTTTTGTACATTAATGTAATGATATTTAATATGAACTAACTAAAAAATTATAACCTTTCTGTTTCCCATTCAAATCATGAAATAACTACAAATGACTAGCCTGAAATTGCCTGAAACAACTGACTCAAGTCTGGAGTGCAAATGTCAAAAACATACCAGTCAGGCCTTCCCCTTGGTTTAATTTTAATCAGAACTGAGAAGAGTAACAGAAATGCCCAAAGAAAATCTTAGACCTAAGTAGACCTACACACAAAGTTAGGCATACACCATGCCTTTGTGACCATGACCATAGTATGGTGTACATTGTATGGTCTTATTTAAACTACTGTGTTCATAAAATATGATCATGTTAATAGCTAGTGTTGCATTAATTCAGACTAATCAAGTTGTTACAACATTTTTACTGTATGTGATGTACATCCATCACTACTAACTAATCATATTAATGCATCCCATTGAGCCAGAGATGCATACCTTCAATGACATGAACATACTTGTGAGATACAGACTACAGTACATCCATGCGAATACCATTCAGTCTCATGGAAAGTGGTAACTGAGTGTGAACAGCGTTAGGGTTTTTAGAGATAATTAATTAAGTAGATATTTAGTTTTAACTTGATTATTGGATGGAATGATGACACCACCGAGTCCAGGATGAAGAGCGACCATCCATGACACAATCCATGTATTGCAAACTTATGCAATAACCTTTTTTAGATCTAATTAAGTAATTTTAGTAATTATTGTTAGTCACTGTAACTGTTAGAGCAACTTATGAACATGGAATAATATAAATTTATAGACCTAATTATTGTAAATATTATTTATTAATAGGAGGCCAGATAAGATACTGATAGGTAGGGACTAATTAATAACTGAAAGTGTTACTCATTCAAATAACCCTCTTATTTAGTTGGTTAAGTCTTATTCCAACTCAGTTACAAGTTCAGTAAGTGATTACTTTATTTTCTGAGCAAACAGATAGCCAACAGATCGTGTGTCTTGATTTACATCTTTACTTGTTTTAGTTCAGTTAACTTAACTTAGTTACTTAGACTTACTTAGTTAACTTAGTAATTTTCATCTTTTTTCAGTTCTATTAAATTTAATCAAGAAAAGTTTAGGCTCAGGCCTTGGTAAAACAAAAATGTTTAATTTCAACACTTGCCTTTAAATAATGCAAAATTAAAATTATCTACTGTTAGTCAAAATCACCTGAATGAAATTAAAGTGGAGAAAAGTATATTAATTGTATTCCTCTTCTAAACCATTATCGTATCGTATCCATCCTGTCCAACGCAACGGAAGTTGTCTATATGGCAATTGTTATGCCAGATTTTTTCACGGCCTAAAAGATAATCAATGCTTATGTTCATACTATGTATTATTATTTCAATACTTAATTTTTTAATTAAATTTAATTAACACTTTTTTTACATGACTGATTTTCATTTATTACCATAAGTTATGTTCAAGAAAATTTTCAGCACTAAAATTATAAAACAAGAATTATTATTAAAACGGCTGTTGGCAATGACTTTCAAAAGTGACGAGATAAAATAAAGATCTATAATTATACTATAAATTATTTCGTCTTTCTTGAGCAAAGAATTATACATTAGGCAGAAGAATATATGAATATGCTCAATTTAATTATTCACAAAATGAAAACACATTACTCATCTTATGTCGTCACTACATCAGACCGAATGCCTATGAAACATCGACGCAGGCTATTTATCTCATATAATTACTTGCTTCGGCTGAATCGGGGATATATTACAAAACGTATAACTTATTTGACTTATAACAAGTAGTAGCTCCTGTGCTTAGGTTTAAAGAGTGTTGATAACAAATTTTACATGCAATGGGTGTGCAAGCACATGAGATAATGCGTCAACGAACAAGAGATATTTTGTTGTTATGCTCACGAACTTTGATTTATTGGATATTTCCGAGAGGTATTATTGCCCTACAGATTAATAATTCTTGGCTCTTGGCACATAGACAATTTTAAACCCTTTATATTAACTTCGCTTTTGCTCGTGGTTGGTTGGAAAAATCTTCGGACGGCTTAATGACCCACTACCCGTCAACCTATCGTGTTGAAACTTAGCACATTATAGACTCGTTGCCGATAACAAGACATTTTGTCAAATTTTCAGCCCGCCCCCCACCTAAAGAAAAATAACATTAATTAATTTTAAAAAAAATTAATCTTCCTGTTTTTCAAGGGGAAGATAAATAAAATATAATGACACTGATTTCACGAAATAAAATCCAGATAACTGCTCAAAAATGAGATTCTTTAAAAAAAAAAAAATAAAAATAATAATAAATAAATTATATCTCAGTGCATTTGGTGCGTAATATTTTCTTTCGTTTTTTTGTTTCTGAAATAGTTGGTGAAATAAATCTGCGGTGTAAAAGCGGGTGGATCATTAGCTTAATAATGTAGTGCAGGTGCGTGAAAAAAAAGTGTGCAGTTGCGAGCCTTGGGGGTAAGGGGGCACTAATCTTGCTTTTATAAAGTGCGTTACTTGTATGGATATTTTGTCAAATTTTCAGCCCCACCCGCATCACTCCATATTGCATTTTATTAAGGATTTATACGAAAAATGTTTTTTCATGCGTTGTTTCATTATAAATTAAAGGTATAAAATAACACTAATTCATTGTATTTTCATAGGGATTTGAGCACAATAATTCATTGCATTTTAAAATCCTTTTATAGTAACTTCGCTTTTGTTCGTGTATTTCTTTCTGGTTTCGTGGCAAAATATTCAGGAGGCTAATTAATCCACTTCCTGTCAACACATCGAGATGAAACTTGGCACATAGACTCGTTTCCGATTATTCAAATTTTAAATAATTGGGGTGGGGCTTCAGGAATATTTAGGCATCACTTTCATTCTAGCTACAGCCAGCCAAACAATGGCGGCTGCAATGCATGAACTTTCCATTTACTAAAGCTACTTAACAAAACATGCATTCGAGTAACGCAATTTTTAGCCAACCCCCCCCCCCCCCCCCCCCTCCCTTTTCCCCCCCCCCCCTTTTTTTTTTTTACATTCCCTTTTACACTGCAGATTTATTACACCAACTATTTCCGTAAAACAAAATAAAATATTACGCACCAAACGCACACACGGTATGTTAAATGAATCTCATTTAGAGCAGTTATCGGGAATTTTTGTTGGTGAAATCAGCGCCATCTGGTAGCGTTAGTGACATTGTGAGGAACTTTGATTGGGCAAAACGAAATACATACACACAGAAAAAACCCCACAAAAGATCCAAGCCCGAAACAAAGATATTTATGCATGCACGTATATAATATATGTTGGTATGTGTATTTAAATAAAATATTGAGATTAGCATCTACAGTTTATGACATTCACATACTCTAAGTGTGATACACCACAGAGGCCACACACTGATGCATAATGGAAACTCAGCCTCCCACTCGAGAGGGTTTGAACTGCGTGAGCGACAGTGCTTCCATCTACCGTGGACTCGCTTCTTACCTCTGGTAAAGTGCGTATGCGTGGAACAACCGAACGACCAGTCACTGGCAAGTGTCAACTAAACAGATCATTGCAAGCTTTTTTTTTTTATTAACTTAAAATTTGTTACATTTTGTTCCCCACCAAGGACGGTGACCACTGACTTTGCGAATTATTTATCATAGTATTAAATATTATGTGGAGGTATTAAAGAAAGAAAGAAAAATCATTACAATGTATGTCATTAATAAATGTTGAGCAAAATAGGGGGTGCTGGAGTTCACTAAAGCCTCTCCTGGTGGGAACCCTGGCCTTATTAGTTTTAAATAGGTATATGCCTTCATTAGTATGTACCGTTAAAGAAATACAGACAGCTTTTGGTTGATATGTTATTATTTCAAAAACTTATTTTTTTATTAGGCGTAAGTAATTATATTGTGATTTTTTCCCCCTCTACTTGAAGACTGTGTTTTGTGTGTGTAAGAGTCATGCCTCCACTTCACCATGCTAAGACCAAGGGAATCTATGTGCATTCACAAAGCCAATGACCATAATTCATGTAAAGAGACCTACCCCGCTCCTCCACACACAGAAAAAAAAAAAGAAAAAAAAAGACAACCAAAAAAATAGAACGAGAAGGGTCAATTTTTTAACGTCCCCCCTTTTAAATTGGTTGTCATGATCTGTAATGTGTTACGGTCACATATTGTTCGCAATTTGCTAATAAAATATAACAACGTTAATTTTCAGCGCTCAGTGTAGAGTAAGGGTATTTAATTTTTCAACCCATTACCAAACACTCACAACTCCCACGTTTTCTGTATTTATTCACAAGCGGCAGAAAGCCAGACAAAGGTATCAGCCATGTTTATTGTTTGACATTCAATATTTATACACAACGCCACTCTGGCCAAATTTATCACTGTTCTTCTACGGGAAAAAATGTTATTTGGTCGTAAATAAATCATTACTTGTTAATAATGAATACAGACACAGACAAAGGAAACAAATGGTAAAAAGGCGTGGGGGATGAGATAGAACGAGAGCATGAGTGAGTGAGTGTGTGTGTGAGAGAGAGAGAGAGAGAGAGAGAGAGAGAGAGAAAGAGAGAAGAGAGGGAGAGAGAAAGAGAGAAGAGAGGGAGAGAGAAAGAAATAATTTCGGTTTAATTATTTATTTATTTATTTCATGGGGTGAGTGGGGGAAAAAGGGGGTGGGGTATAGTTCTGTCTATTAATAATGCAAGAAAATAGGGAGAAACAGCATAGATTGGCATAGACCTGTTTGTATGTATTCAGTGCCTGATTAACATAAAGAAAATTGAGGCACATTGCTAGGGGCCTCATGGCTTTAAGGGGCCTCACGGCTTTTAGGGGCCTCACGGCTTTTAGTGGCCTCGCGGCTTTTAGGGGTCTCATTTCTTTTAGGGGCCTCACGGCTTTTAGGGACCTTTTAGCTTTTAGGGGCCTTGCAGCTTTTAGGGGCCTCACAGCTTTTAGGGGCCGCACAGCTTTTAGGGGCCTCATAGCTTTTAGGGGCCTCACTGCTTTTAGAGCCGCACAGCTTTAAGGGGCCTCACAGCTTTTAGGGGCCTCATGGCTTTCAGGGGCCTCACGGCTTTTAGGGGCCTCACAGCTTTTAGGGGCCTCGCGGCTTTTAAGAGACTCACTGCTTTTAGGGGCCTTGCGGCTTTTATGGGCCTCGCGGCTTTTATGGGAACTCATGGCTTTTAGGGAACTCATGGCTTTTAGGGGCCTCGCGGCTTTTAGGGGCCTTACGGCTTTAAGAGGCCTCACAGCTCTTAGGGGCCTTTCAGCTTTTAGAGGCCTCGCAGTTTTTAGGGGTCTTTCAGCTTTTAGGAGCCTCGCAGCTTGTAGGACACTAACTGCTCTTAGGGACCTTGCAGCTTTAAGGGGCCTCACAGCTTTTAGGGGCTGCGCGGCCTTTAGGGGCCTCACGGCTTTTAGAGGCCTCACAGCTCTTATGGGCCTTTCAGCTTTTAGGGCATTGCAGCTTTTAGGGGTCTTGCAGTTTTTAGGGGCCTCACAGCTTTTAGGGGCCGCACGGCTTTTAGGGGCCTCACAGCTTTTAGGGGCCGCACGGCTTTTAGGGGCCTCGTAGTGTGTAGGGGCCTCACAGCGTTTAGGGGCCTCATGGCCTTTAGGGGCCTCACTGCTTTAAGGGGCGACGCGACAAAGAATCCTTGCTTTAATAAAAAAATTGTTTTGATTTTAAAAGAAGTCTATTTATAAATATCTTTATCAAACAATTGATAAATGGGAAAGAGATGGAAGTTAGGGAAAGAACACACGCCGGACAGATTTAACTTCAATTTTCCGTTGGACCAAACTTCTGTCGATCAATTTTCCGTCGACGAAATTTCTTTCAAAAAAATTTTCGGTAACCGTCCTCGTATGATGACAGGAGAGAAGATAACAAAAAATCTTAAGCTACATAAAAGAAGATTGAAAAGGGACCCAAAAAATCCAAATAGGACCATCGAGTCATCCGGTTAGGGGGAGGTTGGGATTACGGTACGCTCGTAGGTGGCTTGCTAGACCGATCCTTGCTCGGAATAATCTAAGACACAGTAGGCATGGAATAGTTGCTTTAGACGGTGACCTAATGTTGCTCTTTTGGACAAGCCTGCGTGTCTCAGCTGTGGCTATTCTATTAGCTTCATGGGATTTAGCCCCCTTCTTGACAGCAGTTCTCCACCTGGCTCTGTCCTGGGCTGTCTGCACCCATTGAGTAGGGTTTATGCTGAAG